GTTGCGAGACGAACAAAAACAAAATACTTCATCTTCTACAACTTTTGGACAGCAACTACTATAATATTCATTGTAGATTACCAGACACTTTAATAGTTTTCGTATTACTCCATGGTTACCTATATCATATCTATTACCTGTCACCCGTTAATCACTGGGCGACTCGAATAAGTGTCAGTAGTCCTTGTCATGCGTCAGAGCTGCCCAATGTGCCCCGTTGCTTGAGGGATACAAACAGCCTGCCGTTTCCAACGACAACTTTGTTTTCAGTATTTTTACACGAGTGTGCCCATGGGTGCTATATTGAAATCTGCATTGAAGTTGGTTATGCTCTCATGTTTTTCGTGCTCTTCTAAAGCATAGGTAGACTTTATTTGGTGGAGACCGCATTGAACCGCTATCTATGTGTTTTAAATTACTTTACGGCATGATTTTGGTGGATCGAAATGCTGGTTACAATCTCTATATGCACAGGAATAACGAATATGCACGTATGCATGAATATGATTGGGACTACTACGAAAGCAATAGGCCGTTTCGACCACTTGTGTCTCAGTCCAAGTACACAGTCGTTTTTTACACGCGTTTAGCCCTCTTTTCGCCGTGTGTTCCGGTAGTTAAGCAGCAAAAGACACTTCATCTACGAACTGGATCGTAATTTCGAAAGAAATTTCACAGACTTGTATATTTTCAAATAAAATTGTAATTTTGTGGATTTGCGATTTGTATCAATGCGCGCGCCCTGTCTGTTTTAGGTACAAGTGATGGGAATTGAAACCAGACCATTGTTTTCTTTCGACTGAATAAGCACGATAATTCGGTGCAGTGTTGCCTTTCTCTCGATTCATCATATCCGTAAGGAGTATTTCATCACAGGGCAGCAGTGATGCTTTGATGAAACGGCTATGATCGGGTGGAATAGTCGTGTGAAATATATTTCCGCATGATCAACATTCATAAGTAACTGCGCAAATGGGTTCATTCTTTGCGGGGCGTCCTTTGCAGTCTTGTGCTATTTTATGCGGTGTTTACTAGCGCTATCTTCGAAGCGCCTCCCACTTCACTCCATTCGTTTTACCTGCTCGTTTCTCGTCGGCGCCTATATTCCAATTACTGTTGTATGGTCGTATTCCGAAGGTAGACTTCAGACCTCTTGCATTTATCGTCGCCATCGCGACCACTTCGATAAGTGAACAGTATAAATTCGTTAACTGCTGGAACTCGCTGGAGCTGTCTAAAGTGCTTGAGATCATTTGTGATTTCTGGAATCCTGCACCATCTTGGACGGAAGTTCTGAATTCGTCTACTTTGTGTTGTTCGCAAAGGTAATTCGGTAGTAGTAAGCTTCTAAATAACAATTCGTCCATGGTGCTAATTGAAAACGTGTGTACCCCATTCAAAGCTACATATTATTGCACAGCTACTCGGCCTATATTCTGAGAACTACTTTCAACGGAGCTACAAACTCCGATTAGAGCACCTTCATTTGTTTATTCAGTAAGCGAACTTCCATTGTTTCGCCTATATCTCCAATTATTGGTGTGTCAATTCAGAAATTGATTGCGTTCGTGGTCTTCGTGGCAGTTTTGAGTGGAGACACGTGGAGTGATTCAGCCGCCATAAGCTGTCAAACGGCGCGCAGCAGAGCACATCTAATTTCTTTCCTAACTTTGAAACTTCTGTCCTTCTTATTAAATACTTTCTGTTTAAAATTTATTCTTGAATAAGAAGAAATTCTGTGGACCTACGTGCTTAATTTGGCAGGATTAGGGATTCATTCTAGTACCACTGTAAATAGGAACTAAATCGCTTCTGAAGTTCATGGTCACTCGTTTGATGAGCTGAAAATACGCGGAACTTTCCCTTGATCGAACAACAGACAATTCAATACTCTTGGAAAAACTCTCTGCAATATTCGTGGTTCAAGTTGCCACTCTTCTATATTTCTGCATCCTGTAAACGCTGGAAATGTCAGCAACTATTGCTAAGAGGATGACATTTCGTCTACGTTCACGTTCTACCAGTCGACATCGTTCGATATCGTGCTTGTTGCCGTCGTCCCATACTTTAAATCTGCCACCTGAATTCTCATCTAATGGTACATTTTCTACATAACTTTTTTCTTATTCATGGTTTAAATTGTCGTTGAAAATTGTGCTGAAACTTTTGAATATTTTTAAATCGGAAAATTTTCTGGAATGGAATGTGTTTGGTGTTGGGGACAATGGATATGTTGGTAGTGTTCAGAATCAGACAAGTGCACATGCATCTACCTTTTAGCGACCATTGCACGCTTGTTATTCTCCATGTGTGACAGTATGTCAACCCTTCGTATTGGAAAAAAACGCCTATTCTGGTGTTTTTTTTCTTGAACTGATCTTGATTTTCTCAGTGTTTCCAAAAACTCTATTAGAAGGGATTTCTTCTTTCTCGAATCCGTAGCTTTTCCAATTCGAAGATTATTTTTAGTTTTGTTTTTAGAATCTGAAATGAGCCAAAGGTTATATAATATTTGCCTTAACGGTAATGATAGTTTAGTGTTCGTTAACGTAAAGAACAATTCATGATATTAATATGTTTACGGGAGGGAGTAGCGCAATGGTTAGTGATGTATTTCATCACTATGCGAACTTCTGACTCTACCCCGTCCTCAACGCTTTCCTCCAGCCCACATTACCTTAGCACAGCTACCTCCAAAATTGCGAAGAGAATCGACTCGATCAGCATTCTATAACATTCATAAAAAGTGGACGAAATTCATCCTCAGGCAGAAGCCGAAACAATTCATGAAATACTCGAAGACCTTTATGGTAAAACCAATCAAATGCAAGAATTTGATCTGCGCAGTAGCTGTGAATGACAAGTAATATAAAAAGAAATTTGTTTTCATAGAATCATGTTCTCCACTATGAGTGATCGATGTTTATGGAGGAACTTTTTTCTCAAAATGTAAGTTCCTACGGTTACGTCGTTCAACAGGAACCCAATGTTGATGTCTGCATTGAGAACTGATACTGATAATAGTGCAAATGAGTGCACAGTAGTCTGCTTAGTTATGTATTTCTCTTGTCGATGCTTCGCGATATTTGAACATTGTCGAAATGGGAGCTGTGCATCGCTCAAACGTTTCACGTTGGTCTTTTTTGTCCTTTAATTATACAATATTTAGTTCTTTACTTGTTCCAATTATGCTTGTATACTTCGTATGTTCTCTAATCCTACTATTTATGGAACGACATAAAAGATGGATCTATCAATGAAGTCTCACTTCGCCATGTAACTATTCCTAAACTACCGAATACACTCCGATAGTTCTTAAAATACGAATACTGTCATAATTTCGATGTAAACTCCTTCGTTTTCCTCATTTTTAATGTTTTTGCAAGAATGTAACCACATCTAGAAAAGTGGGCTGTGTTACACTCTAGGTTTACCTTTAGCTGGTCCGTTATTTTGAGAATTCCGAAACCTTTCTATAATTGCTTAACCCTTTTATTTACTTGGCTATTATTTCTTTACGGCAAAGTTTTATGTGAAGTACAATTTGTGGGAATGTGAATGAAACTTGGACCCAAGGCCAGATTCGAACTCGCAGTTACCCTTTCGAACCGTTGTGTAAATACCTCAGCATCACTGTGGTTGTATTTCACATAACACTCTACCGTAAAGAAATAATAGGCAGTGAATAAAGAGGTAAGCATTGTGATTTCCACTAGAGTCTCGTCCTAACTGGGTTCAATGCCGATTTGTGCCCTAAAAATCATTCCCGTTGATGGGTGATCGCTGATGGCACCGTAAGGGTAAACAATTGACTAAAAGTAAGACAAGGACCTGAATGGTGCACTGGATGCCTTTCTTGTTGTTGTTTGCTAAATTCTCTTGCGAAAAAACATATAATTTTCATGGAGTGAAAGATAAATTTTGACATGTAAGCCTAATGAGGGTAATGAACGAAGAAGAGCAGCTAAGCAGTCTACCACCACTATTATACAATCTAAATAGTGTACTCAAAGTTCACCTATTGACCGCCCGCAGGCTATCGAATAGTGGAGTTGTAGAATGAATGTGGTCGTTCGAGTATTCTATATTTTTTAATCTGATAAGTCTACATATAAAGATGTTTCGTGGGATTTTTAAGTCGTTGATCAGCATCTTCCAAATCAGAGTGAGCTGTTAGAAATTTTGGAGAAGATGCTTAAGAATGGTCAAGTTAGAAACATCGTTGACAACGGTTGAAATACGTGATGTGATTGTCGATGAAGGCGTTCTTCGTGAACAAAGAGAATTGCCATGTTATCGAGTGAAAAGGCCGACGGGAAAACCATGTATCGAGTTACAGAAATGCACATACGGTATTGAGTTCAGTGAATACGATGAGGTGAAGTCAGAATCGGCGTATGTCATGGGTTTTCCAATTGTTCACAATAAGGCAAATAGAAGGGAAAGTGAAAACTGGCAATCTATGCAATCCACTATGAAAAATTGTCCTGAAAGTTTCTCTTTCATTTTTTTCAATGTAGATTTTTACATCTTCTTCTTCGCTCTATTATTTGGCTGATTTAGAATCCGATTATTTACCAGCGGAGAGCACACAACCAAAACGTTGCGTTAGTACTGTTACGCATGAATTGATAACACGTCCTGCACATCCGCCCAAGAGTGGTTCGTTTAGATTCTCATTATTTTCGTTCATTAACTTATCCGGGTTTTTTACTACTATGGTGGTAATGCACTTTCCCTACTTTTGTGTAGGTCTTTTGTTTTATTGTGTGTCTTTTCCACATTTCTTTTTAATACAACGTCCTCATGGGGTGAGTATACTGTAGTTTTTCGGATATGTGTATAAAATGAGAACGGCGATTGCTGTAAAGATCGTTATGCTTTAGAATACTCATCGATTTATGGCCTACATTAATGTATTTTCTTTTATTTTTGTTTTACAAAAGATGAGCGTTGTTGAATAATTCGTTTGATTTGAAAACGTTTAAGCATCCTTTTGTATGGGCCGTGCGATGCATGTGGTTGTTGTTGGAGGACGTCGTGTAGGGAAAACAGCTATACTGCGACAAGTTGCGTGTTTTGAGGATATCACGTCGAAGGTCGTCAGTTCTTCTTATTTTCCTTCATTGTTCTTTTCGAATGTTTCGAAATATCTGCAACTGTAAGGACAACCACATGGGACGTATAGAGTTGTCTTTAGAGATGTTCTAAAATACAACGGCCCTTGGTTCGATCGGGCACGCCAGGCTAATCAGGCCCACAATCCTGCCAGGTTTACAAGTTCCCACTAGACTTGTCTGGAGAGATAAAAGTACTGACCACTGAGACTCGATAGGCCCCGCTAGTCATTGCATAAACCATATAGTTGAATCAGCGCTATAATACCACGAATAGAGTCGAAAGCATAGCTCCTTCCTAAAGAATTGATCAGTAGTGAACGCTTTGTTCTTTATGCTTCAATGTCGAAAATGTAGAGCTGTGAAGTGTAAATTTTTCAAGAGCGCTTTTACAGAAACGATTCTGTTGTTGTAGAGACTTGTTTCATAACTTCATTGCACACAAATGTTTGGAAATTTCTGTTAACGACCTTTAGGAAGACGTTTAAGAGTGCAATACTTTTAGTTTTGTGCTAAAAAGGATTAACAAGGTGAATCGATAATTTTAACTAGTTTGCTTTTTTCTGTTTTTTTCTTATCTCTTCAATGAATGTTTGATAACCAGTAGGGTACTTTTCCATGCGAACATAGAAAAGGAATAGGTACGCTGCCTCATTGAAATGAAATGAGGGTTCCATCTAAAAGTGCACCCTTTGAATGGATTTGAAAACACGCGACGGATAGATTGCGTAACTTTGTTCGAATTCTTGGAAGCGAGAAAGCTGCCTTTAGATGGCGTTGTAATTATAGCAGTTAGCCCTAAAAATCTTTCATCAAAGCAAGTAAAAGGTTTCACCACTTGATAAACTTGTCGTTGAATAATCCTTTTCTGATAGTTAGCCTTCTCTTGATGGTTATTTGTCTGGATAGTGTCTATTTGAGACGATAGGGCTGTATGGCAGTCCTGCACCGCAAGTCTTTGAAAATCTTTTCCATTATTTAACTGGATGTATCATGCTGTCTTCTCAGTTAGTCATTTGGATGCATAATACTATCTGGAGTTGCTTTACGAATTTCGGTTTTATTTGTAGAAGTATGAGCCGACGATCGACGACACCTACCAAGTACTTTTGGAAGAGGCCGATCGACCCCGAGAAGTGTTAATATTTCACGATACGGGAGGTGTTGCAGATCACGGTCCTACTGAATTAAAGAGGCCATATTTACAAGTATGTTTAGGTACTTCTTTTGCAATTGTTTAAGATTTGTATTTCGGTAGGTAAAGAAAACGCTTCTGTCGATCCATTTTCATGAATATGAGAATGTTCCGAAGAGGACAACATTTCATGGCATGTTGCACTTTGAGTTCCAGAAAGTTGAAAAACTGGTTAAAAAGAGAGCAGAAAACTACTACGTTCAGGTGGCAGATGCATTTGTCATAGTCTATTCGGTAGCGGACCATGAATCGTTCAATAAAATGGATTTGTTGAAAAAATTCATAGAGAAGCAATTCGGAAAAGATCGAAAAGAGGTTTGTTGGATTGCGTTTTAAATCGTTCGTGCTTCTTGGCAATACTCTTACATGTATTTTCGCTTTATACCATTGCTTCCGTAAAGACTTTACGATGGCCTTAGAACGTTCGGAGATCTTTAGATTTCTTTAGAGATCCGTTCTTTTTCTCAAATTTTAGCGATAAATGGCGGTAGAGAACCACTTCGTCTTTTATCGTGGCAAAGTTGGAATTAATAGTTAGATACGAGAACACTTGCATTACCTCTCCATTTTACACGAATCGTTTTGCTTCACTACAATTCTAATTCGTATGATGCTTCAGTGGTTTGGGAAATTTTCATTTATCTGAGATTCTTAGTTGGCCATATGGGGGGTTTTCTCAAGTCTTCACCACAGGAAGATAGCGAGCCTTGTGAGTAACCAGTGCCACGGGCTCACCAAACACCACCGATCGTTTCAGGGTCGGCATATTGGTAACGGACATGTCTGGGAGGGTAAGAACACTGACCTGATACATGCGTAGGCCACCGTAAGTTATTGTATAGGTCGCAAATTCAGTTATCTTTACGGTGCTCGATGGAGTTGAATACATGGCGTAACCCTCAGGAATTGATCAACGCTGGATGCTTTGTCTCTTTAGTTCTTAATAAAATGGTGTCGTTTTGGTTAGAGTAACAGATGTACTAGGGGAATCTCTTTATCTTTCGTGTTGGGTAATCACACTTTCGTGCTTTACGGACCGGAAAGTGATTCATGTATTTAACGGGTAATCACACTGGTGATTCATCTAAACGAGTTTGTAACTTGACATTGGAAAAACCAGTCAAGAACTTCATTAGAAACCATCTCCGTTTTATTTTCGTAGGCAGTGAATCGTGAAATCACTTTCTGCTTATAGAAATTCAAAAAAAAACTGAAATCATCGATGATGAAAGTTAATAAATAACGGAGACAAACGTAAACCAATAACGAGGACAATATACTGCTTTTTCGTGCCGTATGGATTTGAGGGTCTAATACGACATGTTTGATTTCTCATAATTAAGCTAATTCAAGCCTATGAATAAGTATTACGGCAGTTTAAAACTTTCTGGCCGTCATTGTAAGTGATCAATTTTGAACTTCAGTTTCGTTCTTGAGCTGTTACTAAGGCGCATATTACACTTGGAGCTACCGCGTGTGTAAATATCCAGTTCAATTATCATAAATCATTGATCTTTTCAAGTATTTTTCTTCTTTAGTGGCGATTTTTTACTCCATTGATAGTAACTGCTCGAACTACTGGAAACAACGACCATAATAATGGTGAAGGATAAAACCGTCGGCGTTAATCAATCCACTAAGGATGCGCCATGCCATCCCGGCTCCATTAAGCATCGTAGAAATGACTAGTTGCATATCTAGCCGGTAAAGCGCCTTAAGGTCAACCTAGCGTTTTATCCTCTTATTTTTCACTTGATCAAATACGTTAGGAATAAGTATAGATAAAGTGGGATGCTAACAAAATCAATAAACGATGAACATGTAAGTCGGAATATATAAATCTAAGAGAGGATATTTTAGGTACCGATTGTTGCTCTGGGGAACATGAAAGATTTGTCGAATCGTAAAGTTGACAGTGATTTTGCGTACAGTTGGGCTGCACGAGAGCGAGGTAGGGTGGTGCTGTAGGGAAGAACTATTAACAGTAGTGGGTAGCATCCATTACTACGAAACCTATCCAAGAAACCGAGATTAAAGGCGTTGTTTTATAAGAAGATAAGCTATGACTTTTCAAGAGATTTTATTTTTTTCTATTTTTTTCTGAGTTCCGATTTCTTTTAACTCCATTTCATTTTCACCTTCTAACAGAGACATGATTAAGCGCTTACAGTAATGGACGATTTGAATGGTACACATTGAACATACCAATAAAGAAATCAGTAGCACGACAACAATCGCTGCGGTTGGCAATCGATTTTGTTTGGCCGTATGAGGGAAAAAACAAGAAATAAATTGAATTGCTTGATTTGCTTGACATTAACTAACAATATTAAGCAGCGAAACACTTCAATCTCCGCTTTAATAAGATTGCTTTCGACTTTAAGGAATAATGTTTGATTTATTTTAGTCCTGAAATATTTTGGATTTAACTGTAGCGTCCGACAGAAGCAGTGGTACTGGTATGTTCTGGAATTGCGCTAGCTTCAAAATTACTAACTACGTGACAATTTGTAATCAGAGTAGTTTCCTCAGGAAACCACTACAGATTGCTCCAGTTACCGAAGAATCGTGGGACTGCCAGTGTTCCATTAAAATTAATTACTGTAGAACTTTGTCAAGAGTTCCAGAAAAGAAACTGTTCGCTACTTTATTATGAAACTGAAATTTTGTGCTGAGTGATTCGGATCCGTTTTCAGATTTTGGAAAATTCATGAAAAGTTTTCTGATGCAAAAGCAGTTCATTTTGTTTTGTTTTCATAAAGATTACCGGATCGCCGAATTGTTGGAGATCCTACTAATACGGTAACGAACGTGTTTTGTAGTACTTTTTTTTTAAAACGCATTCGCGACAGAGCCGGTTTTTCGACAACGGGCGATGATTTTTCAATAACTGGTGCACTTGAAAATCTGAGGGCTTCGCAGACTTCTAGCGCAGAATTTGCGTCCTCGTTTTTAGAGGGCATGTGTAGTTTTCCCTACCTTTCATTTTCATTCGAAGAATGTTTGAAACTCTTCATTCTTCTTTTTCTTCTTCAAATATTTTATATTTGGAATTTTAAGATTCAAATGTTTAACACTTTATGACAATCTCGACAGTGCCTGACAGCAAGACACTCGGCGACATCACAGTATAGTGTTAAGCAGAATTTTGCATGTTTAGTCGCTGCTTACGAAATAACCTTGACGGGACTTTACGAGCTTCTGAAACCCTAATTTAATCGTGTTACAGCAAGAAAAAGCTCACGCCTTCTAGGTAGTGATCTACAGAGGTTTTCATGTCAGCGAATAATATTTACTATGAGCTAAGGCTCGTTTGTCTAAAGTTCAAACGGCAAATTGTTTTCGCCCATGTTGGTCATATATGACTCATATTGGACCGTCGGCTCGGATCATCAACCCTATGGAAGACGAAAACGCCAAGTCGTTAACTGAGTAAACATTCTTATCAACCTCATGTTAGCTTAATAATACAAGAAGATACTGATTACTAGTGCCAATTAAATGACAGTTGGTTTAAAAAATATAACTCATATTCTTAACCCTTTTATTTACTGCCTTTTCTTTTTAATGGCAGGGTATGTTGCGAAATATAACTCGTATATAATGCTGAGATATTTGCAAAACTCCGGACCGCAGGTGTATGCGATGGGGAACGAACGCGCTATTGTCCTTTCCGGGGAGTAGCGCACTTCACTACCACACCATCCGGGTCCTTCGTTTTGCCTGTCTCTCAGCTAGTTCTATTGATCTTTTGCCATCAGCAATCACCCGTCAACGGGATTGATCTGGGGAGCCAAAATTGGCATTGGATCCATTGAATTGAAATTGAAAAAAATTGAACGGCATTGAAAAAGAAAAAGGCAGTAAATAAAAGGGTTGAGGCTGTGATTATAACTAGACCTTAGCTTAACTGGGTTCAATGCCGATTTGGGCTCCCCAGATCAATCCCGTTGACGGGTGATTGTTGATGGCAAAAAGATCGATAGAACTAACTGAGAGGCAGGCAAAACGAAGGACCCGGATGGTGTGGTGGTGAAGTGCGCTACTTCTCGGAAAGGACGATAGCGCGCTTTAGTTCCCCACCGCATACACCTGCGGTCCGGAGTTTTGCAAATAGCTCAGCATTATATAACTCATTTTGTTCAAAAAGGGTTAACTGTCGCCATAAACGAACGAAGTTTTTTTTTCCTTAGTGGGTAGGGATATGGGGGTGTGGGGAGGTGGGGTTGTAATGATTTTTGACTAGTTCAGTGGTGAAGACTAGAAAATCGCGGAACATTTTGAGAGGGATCGTTAATTTGGAACGGACTTACAGACACAAACCATTAACGCCGGCGCTGTTTTTCTGATCCCTGCTACATGAGAATACCCTAGTTTCCAGCTGTTGCGAATGTGTTAGTTTTCCGAAAAGAGATGATAGTTTTTCGATAACTAGAGGACTCGAGGGGTTTGGAACAGGGCAGTATTGTAGGACTTCGTCCCATCGTTTTATGCTTGTGATATGCATGTTATCATTCGTTACATTTTACTATGGTCCATCATGCAGACACATTGCTATCAGTATTTGAAGAATGTTTCATAACCTATGCTACACATCGAGGTCAATATATGTGGTCCGCGATGCTCGTCCAAAGGACATCGCTTACCGCTTCCTTGTGGTTTCCGTTCTACTGCTCAATTCCTGTATATATTTTCCGTGGTTTTTCAAATTCCACTTATCTACTTCGTAATTTTTTTTTTATACTGGCCCATTCTGTGCAACAGCTCTAATTCATTTTGAGATAATAGTCAGTAGGCTGTGAAATCACCAGTCATTGAACTAGTCAGTAAACTTTAAGAAAGATTTTTTTATATATTTCTAAGTGCAGAGTAGGACTTTTCGTTGGTGTTACCTGCCAAAACACGTGTTAAGTAAGCTATCGGTTGATTACAGAAAATATAGAGAAAGCGTTCAATATGTTTAAGAATAAACCATCAGGAACAAAAAGATCCATCCTGTGGCTCATACCGACTACTCAGGAGGCCGGGCATGACTGTATAGTACGCACACTGTCCGTTATGTCTTCAAGATCAGTCTGTAATTCCAAAATTTTTAACACACTGTCGACAACGCATGTTTTACAAATTTATACCGACGTAGGAATAAAATAAAATTCGATATAAAGATGCAGTGGCATGCGGAAAGTGATGTTCGGTACGAAAAATGGTTCATACAGACCCTTCAAGCACTTGAGCGTGTTAGTAAATGTATGGCTGATATTGTGGTCAACGGTTTATGACAGTTTTGATTTTCGCCACATTTATTATAGGATAAAAAATAAAAAAGACAAAGCTCCCTGCGTTGATCAATCCCTGAGGGATGAGCCATGCATTCAACTTCATTAAGTTTCGTCCGGAAGTGATTGAATGCATATCTGGCCCTTACAATTACTCACGGTGACCTACTGATGTATCGAGCCAGTGCTACTATCCTCCTAGACAAGTCTGGTACCAATTTACCGATCCCGGAAAAATGGAAGGCTTGGTGACCCATGGACGCGGAGATCGATTCCATCCACTTGTGTGTTGTGAGTGCGCCTCCGACCACTGCGCTACAGGCATCTTCCTATTATAGGTGGTATCATTATTTGTCGGCGTAAAGTTTTTATTTAAGTGTAGTAAAGCAATTTGAATAGAAGGAATAAGTAATATGGAGTTATATTATTATAGTATGCTGTTCATCAGCGACATAACGAAACGGAATTTTAGTGAAATTGTTCGAAGTATCTGCCAAGGACCGAAACACATTGGTGGAATTTGTACAGTACCTAGGACATCGGCATTTTCATCCAATAAGTCAGTTCGAGTATGATATGAATTATGTCTGTCCTTTTTCTTCTTTTAAAGTCATCACCTTAAAATGGTTACTACAGAGTGATTGATTGGTTTTTATTTTGTGTTTGAAGTGTTTTTGCTTTCAGAGGAATCGAAGTTTTCATTGTCAAAAAAACTGAAGGCGGAAAAATCGAATCCGTCCATACTAATGGACTTTTAATTCAGCTCAGTTGCAATAATATTCCCCAACAGAACTCGTCTAACTCGTGTCGTACATTTGTTAATAGTCGTGATTAAATCGTTCATCTACAGGTATTCTACCCATTCAGGTCACCTTCATGCTTACTTTACTAACCCCATTCATAATACTAAGAAGTTCATAATAACGGTGTTATTGTTTTTCCTTTAGAAGAAAATCTTCATTGATGTGGAAGTAAATCAATAAATGATTACTATGAAAAACTGCTTGTTTGTGTGATTGTTTGTTTATTGACTTAACAATACTAGCTCTAAATATTTTTAAAGGATTTTTCATGGTTGGTCTATATAGGGTTTAGTTCAGCAGCAAAGATACGATATATAGATGTTTGTCTATTGATGAAACAAGAACGGTGGCCCGGTAGTGGCAATCCTGAAGTGCCATTGTGTGTTTGGTCCGTACTAAGGAATCTTCCAGTGGCTTCAACGTAACAACCACTAGCGTAGTTTATCGTGTACAATGAAAATGAGTTCCGTTGACGGGTGATTGCTAATAGCACCTGAGGGAAAGGCGAAACGAAGGACTCGCATGGTGTGGTGGTGAACGCGTTAGCCCCCAGTATGGGTAATAACGTGTTCGATCCCCACCGCAGACATCTGCGGCATGGAGTTTCGCAAATACCTCAGCGTCATTGTGGTTAATGAAGAGTTACTTTGTTGTAATTTCCTGTACTCCTGCTTAAGAAAATAACGTCATGATCGGATAGAAATCTCAAATGATTTGCCAACTTACTGAACTTACTAATCAATGTAATACAAACTGTGGTAAGAAAACGGGTAAAGGACCAACTTAAAAGGCACTTGGCTATTCATGACCTATAGCAGTGCTGATGTTTTGGTTTTTTATTTTATCTGACCCGTCTTCACGTCTACTGTGCGGATCCCAGCACTTCTCACATCAAATTCGTTTCCTCGCATCCATTGTCCACGAAGATCTTCCAACTTTACGTATGGCTTCGGTTGCTGTTTGAGGATTTTCATTTCATCTTGAATGTCGTAGAATGCTGGTCGAGCAATTCTCCCTGCATTGCAGAGAGTGACTTTTTTCACAGACATTTCCGGTACCAATTTCCCAATCCCGGAGGGATGAGAGGTCTGGTTGACCCGGGGCGGAATCGAAGCAGCATCATGCTCGTGATGACGGACATCACTTCCACTGTGCTATCCACTTGGTAGTAATCTTATAGAAGGAGGAACGTGCTGCCACATCAAAAAGAGTGTGATTATTGGTTCTCATACAAGAAGAACCGCCAGAAGAAAAAGAGTACAGCCACAAAATGAGATATGAAATACGCAAACTGGTTTTTGTACGGATCGCCACGTGATGTGAATGTCGATCGTTCATTCGACCGACCATGAACGCATGGCTTACGGCATTTCGAGTTGTGAAATTGAGTGCGAAGTCCGTAAATGCGGAGAGAATGTATTCAAATTTACGAAACGTGCAGTTTTATTTAGGTTGGTAGCCAGAAAGATTTAGATTTTCCACAAGCATTTCTTTTTTCGAATTTTTGAAGTTGGGGTGTTGCAGGTTTTGTTGGTTTATGCTGTGTCTGTGAATTATTCATTAGGACTTTATTTTTCTCACCGTTGTTCTATCGCATACTGATTTCTTCGTTTCTACAGATTTCTAACCAGTTTTCATGCAGCATTCGAATTTTCGTACTAATCAGCTTCATACTGAATTTTATAGCCGTAGTGATGCTGAGATATTTGCAAACCTCCAGATCTCAGGTGTCTGCGGTGGAGATCGAGGGAGCTATTACCCTTGGGGTGGAGGTGCTAACGCGTTCACCACCACACCATGCGAGTCCTTTGTTTCGCCTTCCTCTCAGCCATGGAACTGTTTTCGTTCAGTAATGGTATAGTGTGATCAGCTAGGGATATAGTGGTTTTACATCTGATTGATGTAGCAAACATATAAGATGCCTGTTGAACTGTTACTCAGAATAGTATTGTGACTAGTAAAAGTTACAGAAAAGTTACAGAGTTCAGTACCTTGTCTCGCTTACCACATGTCTGCTGACCCATTGTCCCAGATTTATCTTCATTAGTATCCCAGACCTTGAACACTCAAGAATCTTTTCAGATCTTTAATACATTTATTCTGATCACTCAGGACTAATTCCAATTTCTATCGGCAACATAGCTGATAGTATGCTATTATCATTGTTTTGTTAATGCTTTACGTTTTGTCTTTCAGGAGCATAATGAATTTGAGCGATAGCGTACGTCTGAAGGGGTGCACTTTGAAGGGTCGAAGCTTGGAGACGTCGTCTGGATGTTCAGCTTTGGACACGTTGTTCGGTGGAGGAGTTCCGGTGTCGGCGTTCTGTGTCGTGGATGAATTGAATTCGCGGGCTTACTTCGGAAATATAGTCAAGTATTTCCTGGCAGAAGGACTGTATTCAGGTCACGATGTTCTAATTGTGGATCCAGTAGATGGAGATCGACTTTGGAAGGAAATTCCGGCGAGAATAGTGACACAACCGAACACAAGTTCTTCTGACATCCGAGCTATGACATATCATCATGATGACTTAAGTATAGCGTTTCGATATGCAGCAAAGCCAAAAGTGAATTCGTTGATTGGTGAAGGAAATCGCTATGATCTTTCGAAATCACTTGACGACGTCGACTCTTTCTGCTCGCAGCGAGTTCACTTCGACGGACCATATTGTTACGACTCGCTTTACCAATACATAGTAAGGCTGTGCAGGAATGATCGCTACAATAGAGAGCGTGGTCTTACGAAAAACCTCCTACGAATCGTCATCAACCATCTTGGTTCTCCAGTATGGAAAGATTCCGAGAAATTCTCGCCATTTCTCGTTCGTATTCATTCACTTCTTAGGAAAGCTCATGTCGTTTTATTGGCAAGCGTTTCTAGTGATACGATGTTCAAAAAGCATGCTGATGAGCTGTTCGCGACCGCTGATCTTTACTTTCAGTTGGTAGCTGTTTCTGACGAAGAAGAAAAGAAGCTGTCGTGTGTTGAACGATGTCATGGATTCTTACGAATCCTACGATTGCCGAGACTGACGTCACTGGGCACACACAATCCACCCGTTGATTTAACTTTCACACAAAAACGAAGTTCCTTAGAGATATCGATCATGCATTTACCTCCAGCCCTCGGTGATGAAGATCGGATCGCAAAAACACCTTGTGCTGTTGATTTTTGAATGTCACAACTGTTCAGTTATGTTGTTGTTTGTCGTTGTTTATGTACTTGTTATCGTGAATATTGATTGGCGATTGACATGACATTGATTGATTCCAGATTTTTATCGATAAAGTTTAGGCATGGTCACTGCTCTTAAAGTGATGGAAGGCAAAAGTCCAATCAGTTCTCACTGCGAGTTAAATGCAAAGCCTGATATGCGATCAGAGAGGTTCATCGTGAGAGTTCTTCTTGTTTTCGACGTTTAAATATTTAGGTCAACTCGCGCACCTGCCCGTGTGTTTTGCATTATTCCTGATAGATTCCTTTAGGTTTTAGGCCCAAGCTTTTGGTTATCTTTCTATTGCGTTTCTCTCCTTTTTTTCCTTTTTCCGTTCGCTTAGATTCCGTTTCAGATTTCCAATATAAGTTCGTTGTGTTTGAAACAAGTTCCTTTTTTCCGTTTTCCAACTGATTTGATTCAAGTACAAGCACGAAACATCATAGTGAATTTTGAAAGTACTTTCGAAGAGGTCGTCCGTCTCGTTACATGCCGATTTCGATGAATTGACTATCGGAGGGATTGTTTTCTGAATGGGTTTTTATCCAGGTTAATATTATCGGATCTATCACCCAAAGTTTCTTACTTATTTTCTGGTGGAATAGTTTGACTTAAAAGTTCTGAAACCCGCCCAGTGGATTCGAACTCACCTAATCGTCTTGGTGACATAACGAAACATCCCCGCTATCAGTACTACCTATAACCTTACGGTTCCACTTGGTTTCCGGACGCCTTATCATTTATCTTATCACTTCGGATTTACTTAAATTTAATTCCTATGGTAGGCACAACTCTTTGGTTTGCAGAAAAAGTGCACCTACGTTTTTGTGAAAATCGTTTTCTACATACATAGATAAAAATCATTTCGTTGGCCCACCATACATATTTTTTCACCTAACTTTGGAATGAATATATATTAAATATCTTTTTCTATTGTTAAGGTTACATAAGGAGATTGCATAAATTTTCACCGTGACTAACGGATTCGGAGTCTCCGTCTTCCTTAGATCCGTGGTGTCCACCGTATAAATATGTATATGTACACATATGTAAATGTATATATACACGTATACACACATATAAATGTGTATCTACGTATGTAAATAAAATAAAGGATAAAGCTTTCGGTGTTGATCAACCCATTGAGGATCCGCCATGCATTCGACTTCATTAAGCATCATTGGAGGTTATTAAATGCATATTTGGCCTTTACAGTGACTCGCGGTGGCCTACCGATGTATCAGACCAGTGCCGCTATCCGCCCACACAAGCGTGGTACCAATTTGCCGACTCCGGAGGGATGGGAGGTCTGGTGGACCACGGTAGCCGGAATCGATCCCATCTGTATTGCAGGGCGCCTCCGAACCACTGCACCACACGCGCCCGTGCACATATATATATATTTATATACGTATGTACTTATATATATGTATGTATACTTGTGTGTAGTAAACCAATAGATTTATTCTCTTTTATGTTCTTGCCTAAAAGTTTGGGGGAATTCACATTTGTGCAGGTATTGCTCGTAATCGCACGAATTCATCATTTTTCATCGTTATTTTTTCATTTTAAAATATCGATTGTGCCAAACAAATATGGGAAATGTTCAGGAGGATGTCTAAGGAAAATCGCACAAGGAAGAAGACGATCGTTTCACTGGGCTCGAGTGTGGTGAAGAAGAAAGATTGGCTCGTTGTTTTGCAAGACATTGGCATAAGGATAAAACCATTCTCATCACGTACGAAATATTTAGTCGCTTCTAGTGTTCAGGATGCTCATTATAGGGTAATGCATTCTTATTCGTCTGATTATCTTCAATTTCGTATTGACAGAGACTTATGCAGATCTTTCTGAAACGGTGGAAGATTTCGGAAAGTAGCTTTGTAATCGTAGCTCCTTATTTTACTAAAATATTGCTTGCCTTCTTGCCTTACTCTTTTGAATAAGGTGATGCTCGGCAATGTTTCAGAAAGGTTTCAGGTGTAAATCCTTTTCCATGCGCTTCATGTTGATCTGGCTTGATTACTAAACTTCTTTACTTACCATGCCTATTACTGTCATTGCTAGAAGAGCAGAATTAACCCCCAATGTGTGGGGTGCTTGTAATGTTCTTTTAGGTAATAGTAAGATTATCTTTTCAGAGAGCTATTGCCCTAGGTATTTATGTTGTGAACGAGGAATTTCTTCAACGATGTTCTGAGTTGGAATTTCATGATGACATCGCGAATGTGGTATGTCAACAATAAAAAAATTCGTATTGATTTAAGTACTTCGATGATCTGGCTTCAAATCATGCCATCACCAGCAATTTTTTTTGTTCTCTTGCAAGCGGTCCAGTTAGTGTGGGCGTTCGGCTGAGGCTTGTCGAATTGTGGCATACTGTACTCGCTGATATGTTGGATGCTGCTTGAGCATGTGTTCTCCTGGAGTCAAAGAAAGTCGTACTAAGCCATTATCAGTTCTTTCACCACGGGCAATCGCCAATACTTGCAATTAGGAGAGTTCACCGTTTTGCGACTAGTATTATTCCGAAATGTCAGTGGCTGTTACCATTAGTTAGTTAACTTGAAGATAATGCAACAGGCCAGATCCCATATTGCCATATTGGCAATAAATAATTTTAAAAAATCCTCTGTGGTAGTTTACATAAATCGTTTCTTATGTTTAGGCAGAAATATGTAGACTTCAAATATTCGCTGGCTTAACCATCAGTTTCGTTGGAATAAGCGATCAAAAAGTCGAGGATTACACTCGTTCTGTGGTGGACAACGGTAATGGAGTGCATTCTTGTTGTTCATTCCCAGTTGTGTGCTGTTAGTTCATGACTTGTTAAAGTTTGCTGTTTCCGTCTAGCTGGCCGTGTAAGTTCTTCGACGATGAACTCCACGCATGTCATAGTTGCGTCTGGTCAACCACCGTCGGCATCTTGTTATGGGAAGAATCTGGTCACAATGGAAGTAAGTACACATTCATAACTGCTTATAACCACCATATTGCTAGTAACGTTCGAGGTTTTAATTTCAGAACTATGTTTATTGTTCTAGCGAAAAATTTTTCAGCGAAAGGTTATCCTAGTAGGAGGGAAAACTTCTATTCATTGATTTGTAGGTAGAATAGAGTTCGCTGATTGCTCGATTGCGAAGTATAGGTTATAAACACCATATCGTTGATCCACTTATAATTCCATAAAGTAATGAATTTATACCTCGCGTTATCGATAACTGCACTTTTTCAGTCCATTAAAGGCAGCTGTTCTTTTTTTTTCTTTTAATGAGTCTAACTCTAATAAGCGAATTTAAAAGGAATTGTGAACAGTAGGAGTAAACTTTAATACCAAGGAATTAAAAATTGGTGAGGTTTGTACTCGTATGCCTCATAGGTAGTTTAACTGGTTTACGCTTATTTCATTCGGTTGACATTTTCTGGTTCGTCGATGCTTTTTCTGGAGTCTTTCATTAGCGGTGCCACTGTTCTCATGTAGTATGGACAGCCAGTCACCTACTGCTGCGAAGCGGAGGTGGTTTACCACAACTGGATTGGATTTTTTCTGTAGCCATGGTCGAACACTAGAATGGAAAAGTTGAACAGTTTAAAAATAGTGATTTAGCAGAGAGCTCAACCTGTGCTGTGTATCATATTTTAACGCGTCCTTAACTCAACTTTCACCCTATAGGTTGGTAAACCATTGACTGAGGTAATGTATTCTTTATTCAAGTAGGTCGTAAATCGAAATTTCATTGTTCAAAAATGAGACAGTGAAATATTTTATATATCAGCTTTATCCCACGTGTTTTCGTACTATCAGCTCGGAAATGTTGTGTAGGTTTTCTGTGCGGACACTGCTCCACACTTCAAACAGTGTGAAAGCATTGGTGTTTACGTGCAAGAGAGTCTCTGTAACTGCATCGTCTTATTCAACAACATCTGCCTCCTCTAGAAGTATAGAAAACGATCGCCATTTGGTTATGAAGCAATTATCTTTTCTTCTGCGGCTTATTTGAAAGCTAGTTGTTATAAAAGGATCTGGTCGTTGACTTAAATATTCACATGGGTGGCCCACTGTAAGACATATGAACATATATGAATGTATAACTGTAAGTGAAGGTTTTGCCTTTATCTCAGCCAGTCTTTTTAACATGCGAGCCTCCGGAAACGCTATTCGTGGTTTAGTCCAACCTGGGATCCAAATTTTGCAAATTTCACACCATCATTGTATTTCATATAACTGAGTGTCTTAATCGTGTTGAGGTTGAAGTGCTAAACTTCCTCACTGGTGAATGTCGGCACTTGAGAAGTACAGCTGTTAAGCTGCTGCTTTTTTTCCTTACTAACAAAATCGTTCTACATCACATTTTTTTTATTAATTAATTTAGTTATTGGGTGTAAATTCAGTGGTTCCATGAGAGTATGGACTTGGGATGGTGTGCGAATGAGCAATGCTTCAAGTATAGACGCTTGGAGCCATCGCGACTTCAACCATCAACCAGCTTTTTGATGTTCCAACGCAGGTAGTAGTCAGTTGATGTTTGTTCATAACATTCATGTTTGTACTTTCACTTCATTTTTTTTCGTAGGCACATTCGCCAGAAGCATAATATCTGATTTGAAGAGGTTCTACAGGTTACTGAAGTCGAATAGGACAATCGTACACGTTTCAGGAGACGAGTTGAGAACAGTGCAATGAAGTATAAGAGATATCAGCTGTGTTTAGAATTATTCAAGACAGAAATCAATTGTCTGAAAACGTCAGATTTCCTCGTAAGGGTGAGTGTACTGCAGTACACTACTACTACAAGTTCGGCTTTAAGACGTTTTTTTGCATCCAATCACTCTAACCATTAATTAGCGAAGAGTAGGTGAGAAAGCTATGCGCAGCTAGTTTGGATGTCATTCTGTTTAAATATTTAAATTTGCTAATTTCTTTCTTTTTTTGTCTTCACGATGTACTCTTCAACCACAAAAAGCCAGCGAACATTTAACCTTGTCCGTAAGAAATTTTAGCTACATGTTTGCTTTCGATGTTTGATGGACGCAGTAGTTTGGTGTTATGTATAGCACCGGTGGTACAAATGCTTGGATATTTGAATGGTCTATTTTCACTGCTTGTGTGGGCGCCAGCACAACTTCCATTTTTTCGTAGTTTTGGTGGTTCATTCACTGTGAATCTTGGAGTCCCCGGGTAGCCTAACCAAATTCTGCCCCGGGTTGTCACAACTACAGGGAGTCGCCGCCCGTGTGGATCAGAGGGAGATTTACTACCATACGACTTTGATACCGTGACGGTGGTGGATCCTGGTATTGATTTACTCTTAGCTAGGCCTCCTGGTGGAAACGCCGGACTCCTCAGCTTAGGAAACTTAGCCAGGGCATGAATCACCCGCTGTACATCGCTGCCCGACACCCAGGAACACCTTCCAGTCATGATGAGGCGGTAAATATAAATAAGTCGTTATACGGCGTTATAGCTGACAACCATTTCAGCTATTCGAAGAGAATGCGCATGTGTCAGCCGAAGCAAACGACATCATGTTTGGAGTATTTGGTGGAATGCGTCAAGCGCATGATGGAATTGTACGTAGAATGGGCGAGGTGCTGGACACGTGGAATGATCATAGCACTATAGGGGATGTGAGCACACCATTTGGTTCACGGTTATACGGCATAGCTATGTGTAGCCGGCATATTTAAACAGTTTATTTAGATATTCGTTGAAGGAGCGTCGTCGCTTAAGGATGCATACTTTCCGTACTTTCATACATTAGAAACGTCGTTGCAATATATTAAGGAGTATCGAAAGCAAAACGCAAAATTTAATTCCTTTATCATGGTAAGTAAATATTTTTTGCATAATTTTGGAACAATTTACACTGAAATGTTGATTTGTTGGGGGTTTTTTTTAATGATAGGGCGCATGTTGCGCAGTGGTCGGAGGCGCCCTACAGTAGATATGGGATCGATCCCCTTGCCCCAGGCTCATCAAGCTCTTCATCCCCTCGGGGTCAGTAAATTTCTACCAAACTTGTCTGGGAGGATAGCAGCGCTGGCTCGATACATCGGTAGGCCACCGCGAGTAAGTGTTAAGGCCAGATATGCATTAACTCACCTCTAACAATGCTTAATGTAGTCGAATGTATGGCTTATCTCTCAGGGATTGATCAACATTGAGAGCTTTTTTTAATGATCGCATAACAGTCGCTCATCGCCCGTCTGTTTAGTCCAGTTTTCGTCCAAAAATTAAAAAGAGAAAACAAAAATCTCTCGAAGTTCTCGCATCGTAAAAACTAAGCCAAAACTGTGCCATAAATTTTCACCAGGAAAAGGAACGTGACCGTTCTGTCGGAAAACAGAAACTTGAGTACCTTCTGAACGTTCCATTCCAACAGATCACGAGCCGTATTCCTGTGTCTCTTAAAGGTAACCACTCTTTAAGTTTTTTTTAATAAACATCAAATATAGACCGAAAGTAGAAAAATTATTGAAGAAATTCTAATGTTCTCTACAACATATTCGAAACGGGGAGCGATTAACCAAGGGGGAGTTAATTAGATGACCTGGACTAGGGTTGTTGGTTCCACCACAGATCCTCGGCTGATTAATCTAGCTCTTCACCTCTTGGAAAATTGCTACCAGGCTTGTTTTGGAGGACAAAAACCCGGACTTGGTGCATCATTAAGACACCGTAGGTCACCGTAGGTATACAGGCCAAATAGTCAATAAGTTTCCTCTATGATGGTTAATGTACTTGGGTTGATGACGTATCCTTCAGAAATTGTTCAGCATCAAACGCCTTTCTTTTTATTCTGTAAAATCCGCTTCATTTGTATTACTAAATAGAACTTCAGAAATGCGGAGTCAAACAACAACACTTGATCCTGATTTTGAACCTCTTGAAGAAGCTATTGCGGCCATCGACCGAATGTTGGGGTAACCTTCATAACATATTCGAATATTAAGAGTAGACGTAGTAGAATATTTTAGTTCCGTAACTGCTTTAATTGCTCCACAGAAGAGTTTTAAATAAATAAAAAATGAACTGGTCATATTGAATTTTGAACCAGATCAGTTATACAACAGTTTAGTTTAGGGCCATTAACGAAAACAAGAAAATATGCGCAGAGACCGAGGCTATTTTTAAGAAGATTCAGGGTTTGCCAGTATGTTTTTATTTGCGAACATTCTGAACAGTAATGAATTCGTATGTCTAGGGTTATCTTCTTAAAGCACCACGGCAGTTCATATGTGGGATGGAGTTCCTATCAATGCCAAATGGAACTAATGCTTGGATTTGTTCCATAGTTGAACTACTACTCTTTAAGGATTGCGTATTGGCGAGTTACATGTTTTTGTTGTTCATGACTAATATAGTTGAGAAATTTTTTGGTAGAAATTGTTTCTAATCATTGTCTATTTTTTGATGAAAATTGTATTGAGTAGCTTCTGGAGGTGTTTTCATCACTTTGTATTGTTTTTAGATGATAGAGAAATTAGATCCAAGCGTGTCTTGCCCGGAAATTCTCCGTTTCAAGAAATCAATCAGAACATCAAAATTCATCGAATACTGCCATCTCATTAGGATTCGAGCTGTGAGAATTGTGAAAAGCTCAAGTGAGGGGTACAATTGTATTCGTCGTATAGAAAGTAAAATGCAATGTTTGCTTTATTGATGGTAATCTGGAGGGTTAGCCTCTTGTTTTATGAGTGGTTTCGCTGATGCTGTGAGCATAGGCTGCTTTCTGTAATACCCTGGTTCGGCGAAAGGGTAGCCTAAACGATAACAATATTTGAAAACCGACTTTCGTTTAACCTCATTATGACCAATCAATATGTAACTTTTCTTTGATAAGCTTACACAAGGTTGATAAATGACTTTTACTCGGCTCACGTTTCGATGTCTTCATTTTTATCAGAACTGATGATCCGAGTTGATGGTCTACAGTTGTTCGTCTTCGACTCGGATCATCGACTCTAATGAAGACGAAGACGTCGAAACGTTAGTCGAATAAAAGTTATTTATCAACCTCGTGTAAGCTTGCGAAAGAAAAATTGCAAAAAGGTAGTGTTTAGAAAAGTTAGTGTCTTATTACTTGCCGATTAGTTTGATCGAAGATGAATGAGAATGTATATATGTGCGAGTGATGCTTCACCGCTCTCGGTCCAAAGAAAATCGTCGATAACTACAGTGTGCCTCTCAAAATGAAACAAACATTCTTGTTATAGTAGAATGGTAGCGACCTATTCATTTACAGTGAAGCTTGTCAATGCTATATATATCCCAGGTTTTGCTTTCAGGCACCAATTGTAGGTGTTTATAATTTTCCGTGATGAAACGAATTTTGTTTAGATGAGGAAAACATCCTAGTGATCGTTGTTCGAAACCATTCAAAAGATGCTGAATGGTATCTACAGATACTGCACTCTGTTGATTCCACCAATGAATTCGCTAAGAAATTGGTCGGCGAGGTAAAGATCTTTTACTATATGGTACTATTTGGTATGAAGTTTAAGAGAGTACAAAGTGTTTAATGAACTGCCTAATGACTATGATCATTGTGCTCATAAACGATCTCATATTGTTTATTGTTTAGGTTTTTCAAGCTACAGGTAGACGTATCTCGATTGACGAAGGATGTTTATCAGAACTGGATGAAGCCACATTAAATGAGTAAGCAGCAGAACGTTGAGATTTCTTCCCTACAAATTAGCTTCTTTTCAGTTAGCGCCATACATTATTCTTGTTTTACTGTGAACCAGCGCTAGTTGGGCATTGGTTCTTCTTGTCATAAAACTAGACTAGAAATAGGAACATAAAATACCAGATTGGGTTTCACTGGTTTTCACGGCCTCTCAATGGTATCACTTACTACGTTTAATATTGTTAATAAGTGCCGTTTGTGTTCCTATGTGTGCTTTATTTTCCAAAAATTCATACAATACCATTTACTGTCTTTGGAAACCTTTATGGCATTCGAAGAAGCTGATCTCTCAAGTGAAACCGTTGCTGAACAGTCTGCAAATATGTAGTGCACTATTCCCAGTACTATCAGCAGCACTATTTTCAATCAGTCTCACATCTTCCGTGAGATTAACATATGGTAAGGAGCGTGTGTAGCGCACTAGTCGGAGGAGTCCTACAATACACACGGGATCGATTCCAGCGCCTAAGGCCCACCAAGCCTTCCATCTCTTTGGGGTCAGCAAATAGGTACCAGACTAGTCTGGGAGGACAGCAGCAATGGCTCGATACATTCGTAGGCCAGCGCGAGTCATTTAAAGGCCGGCTATGCATTCAATCACCTCCAACAATGCTTAATGAAATCGAATGCACGGCGCATCCCTCAGGGATTGATCAACGCTGAGAGCTTTATCTTTTATCCTTTTAAGTCGCAATCCAACCTTCTAAATCTTAAATCCAATCACAGAAGCCTTTAGCATCTGTAAGACTTGATATGTAGTTCTTCCAACCCAACCCACATTCGTCAAAAGTAAAAATGTTATGTTAGAAATTCCAGACTTATATTTAGGAATTGTAGTAATCACTCCATAACTGTCCTGTAAGAAATTTTAGATATTTTAAACCTATTCAACTTGTTTGTTTCATTTTATTGCACTGACAGAAATGTTGAACTCATTCGTTTTATTTCTTTCCGGTCTTAGTCTGTCTTTTATCCTCAGATCGAGATTTTCTTCGGCTACGTCGAAAGTGTTGCGTTGGGTGTCGTTACGTAAATCGCGTTATGTGAACCGCTCGATAACAACGGCTGCCGCAGCATTCGAAAGGAATGACGTTGAAAAAGCACCGAAAGCCTAAGTGTGTTCGGGATGGCTAGCCGTCGTGAGTTTTCCGTTGATTCTGAGCTGTTCGAATGGGTACATTTTCAAACTATCTAGTTGAAATTGTGGGAAAATTCATATAAACATATAACAGATGTACAAGCACAAATGATTATTTCTAACGTATCAGTTGCACATACGCTTTTACGAAATGAGTAACTTAATGTTTTGTCTTGAAGACCTGACATAAGTATGGCTTGCACCGCAGATGTTTCCACAAATCTCGAGGCTTCCGTCAATTCGGGTCCTATTGGCCAGATTGATCTGTTATGTTTGTTGCTACGACTGTGGTAGTGCTCGTCTTCAATTGTTGCCTCACTAAACATTTCTTAGTTTTTTTTCTTAAATGTGCTCATTTATGGTCTCAGTTCTCTTCACTTATGTTATATCACAGATACTGTAAAACTTTGCCATTATCACCTTTCTCAACTGTATGCATTACCAGTGGTGGTTCGGTGCGTTACCTACCTGGATAAGAAATGTTAATCAGTATTATTTACAAGTAATCTCTTGGATTATTAATTCTAAATGCTGCCATAAATGTATACATAACATCGACCGTGTAGAATGTGACTAAAGGTCAAATTGGATACGTTGTTGGATTAATACTGGAAGAACATACGTGAAATAACTTACTTATCCCACTCGAAATACATTCCACTGTTTTGCAAAATCTTAAGTCAAAGTGTTAGCCATAATTATGGCACTATGAACTTTACACCAACAACTTGTCTCTAATCAGCTGCATGTTTTCCTTAGAAAACTATTTTTAACGTTCTACAAAGAATATGCTAATACGACCGCTCTTAGATTGGGTAGTTATGTTTGAGTAAAAATAACTTGAAAGAGTTGGTTGCTCCTATACCTTCGGCGTAGAACTGTTCACTCTCGTCCGATAATTGTTCTCTTGAAAATTATTCTAAAGAACAGTCTGCATCGGCTAAATATTTCGTGACAGAATTCCACGATGCAACCGTTGTTTGTAACCCACATTAACGGTCTTTCGAAAATCAATAGATTCGGAAGACCTTATACTGAGGATAATTACTTGGATACCTGGATTGCTGGTCCTCACTGGTTGTGCTGGTCCCAACATAATCTCCATTTTTTCCGAGTTTTGCTGGTTTAGCCATTGTGGTTCCCCGGAGTCCCGAAGTCAGCCAGACTAAAGTCTGCTCTAGGTCGTCACTACCACAGGCCGTCGCCGCCCCCGTGGATCAGAGGGAAATTTGCCACCATGCGACTAGTTTGGTACCAGGACGGTGACGAATCCTGGTATTGGTTTTACCTCAGCAGGACTTCCTGATAAAAACGCCGGCTTCCTTCTCAGCTTGGGAGACCCTGCCTGGGGAATGAATTCTCCTGTTGCACATCGCAGCCCGATACCCAGGAACACCTCCCAGCCACGATGAGAAGGTAAACCCTTGGGAGGACTGAGGGTGATTATCGACAATATTAAGAATTATACGTAATTCTAAAGGGCGCGGAAAGGAAAAACCTCATATCTGGAAGAATATTGCTGAAGGCTTCTTATATATTAAAGGGCGTGTGTGGCGCAATGGTTGGAGGCGCCATTGCGACACACACGTGTTGATCCCCGCGCCAAGGCTCACCAAGCCTTCCACCCCTCCGGGGTTGGCCAATTGGTGCCAGACTTATCTAGGAGGATAGGAGCACTGCCTCGATACATCAACAGGTCACTGCGAGTCATTGTAAGTGCCAGAGATGCACTCAATCACCTCCAAAGATAATGAAGTCGAATGCATGGCACATCTCTTAGCGATTGATCAACGCCGAGGACTTTATCCTTTATCCTTTTATGTAATTCGTCAGAATAAACATCCTAGCTAAATGAAACGCGATCAAATTCGTTAGAGAAAGGCATTTTTCCGTCCAGTGGTGCCATAATGAAAACAAATTAACGTCCAGTTCAACCAAAGAAACTTTATTATTGTATGAAGCCAATAATCATCGTTCGAAAGGGATTCTCTTCGCCTACACATAAACTTTCTTCCTCTAAACCGACAGAGTTCCTGGAAAATTTCTTCGTTTTCTGTGAAGTTATCGTCACACGATTATAACAATAAAGCTGTAGTGTTTGCCTCTATTTTCTTAGTGTAACTCTATGGAGATGAATTTGGAATCCTGCTTTTCAATTTGTTACATTTTCCTCTGCATTTACCAATAAAGACCCCACAACTTTCACAATATGAGCCAAATTTGGCTCATATTTTTTTGTATTGTTGCCTTAACGGATAGAAATGTGAAGCATACGGCGTTGATTAATCTCGTAGGTCTGCGCCATGCATTGGATTCCATTAGAGTACAGGTGAATGAATGAATATTCAGCCCGTAAAACATTAGACAGGCCGTTACCTAGTCACTGCTTATATACTCCCAAAGTTTTGTGGGAAGTTGTTGCTATGCGAGAGATGGCGTGATCGGTTCTTTTGAGAAGCGAAACGGAACCGCAAACCACTTGCATACTGCAGTGCTCCCATGACCGCTATACTACACTTATTATTTCAAACTGTTTCATCATGTTTTTACACTCTCATTCCTTTCATTGTGTTTAGCAACCTTCCATAAATATGATCGGCTTCGAGTGTGCTTCGCAAATCATTCATCTTCCGTCCTCACTAACAAATTGGGTACCGACCTTTGGACTAGTTTGTTCCCAAAGCCTCCCAAAGCCCTCGCAAAGCCATAGGCAGCTGGAATCTATTGTGAATCAAGGAAAGGATTGCTGCTTTGAGACTAGGATTTCTCTCTTTTCAGGGGCAGCGATACCAGCAATAAGTCGTGACCAATCGAGGGCATGTAACCTATCGAATCCATAGAGCAGTAGTATATCTCTTTACTATTCATTAGTATTTATGCAAGTAAATTGTTGCACCCATTCGTATTGAGGTACTATGTTTTTTCATCGTTAAAATATTTCACAAAAAACGTGAATTAATATCCCACAAATTCGTTTTCCGTAGCGCGCGTAGCCCAGTGGTCGGAGACGCCCTGCGATACAAACGTAGGATCGATCCCGGGATTTGGTTTGGAGAAGGGATTGGTTTCGTGTGCCCTATTCATGCTCAACAGAATGAATATCCTAATATGCAGTTATGTCTACCTAAGTCGGGAAATCAACATGATGAACGACTTAACTCTAGAGTTGAGGAGCACGGAGCGAGCAGCTTGAGGAGCTATCGAGCATCGAGGATGTAGTGAAGAGAACAAAGCACACTCGACTCCGTGCCCATCTTTTCGACACAACGATGCTTCCTGCCTTAACGTATGAGTCAGAAAACTGGTCGTTGGGTAAGCAGGATGAAAGGTCACTCAGCGTTATCGAACGCGCAGTAGAAAGGACGATGCTAGGAGTATCCCGTTCCACACAAGTAAGGGATGGGATCCAAAGCTCCGATCTGCGTCAACGATCAAAAATCAAAGACGCCCTTCTGTACGCCAAACAGTCGAAGATAAGGTGGGCCGGACATGTAATGCATATGAATGACAACCAATGGACAAGGGCCGTTAGTGACTGGATTCCTCGGGATGTCAAACGCACTTGCAGGAAGACCACCGACCCGATGGCCGGAGTTCTTCAAGAAAAGCCTAGAAAGAAGATATGATGCTCAACGAGCCTCTAGAGCGAGGAGAACCCACTGGGCTACTCTTGCACGCGACAGGAAAAAATGGAAAATTTACTGGTGCCTGCTCGAGTCACTCGACGATCAACGGGACTACAGGTGATACAGGTGATAAACTGCCCTTTTCTAAGCTGACTCAAGACGTATAAGTTGTAGTTGTCGTCGTTGTTGTTGTTGTTTTTGTTGTTGGTCGACGGCTGACGTTTCGGCTATTTCGCGTTCCTCAGAGCCGTGCTGTTACGAGTAGGACTGGAATCAGTAAGAGTAGGACTAAGTAAAAATTAGATTAGTTCATAAGAACATATAAATAAACGGCCATAAACAATTCTTAGAAATCAAGAGTCCATACGTACAGACAGAATACCTGCATCAACATCTAAGTGGTTTTTAGGAAATAGTAAATTATCACAAAGTACTACTAAGCGTAACTCCTCGCCCTTATACGAAGCATGTCGTTCTTCATCGCTCATTCACTACCCCTGCAGCCATAATCTGCAACGAATACAGAGGTTTTCATGTTTTTCCTCTATCGTCACCAACCTTTTTGTCATCACGTTTGATGAGAATTCCGTTAAATATGGTCTCATAATGTTCATTTTCAGATATGATCCCACTAGTATTTCAATTCTTGAGCAATTCTAGATTGCCTACCAGGTTGTAGTAAGCCGATTTACATGATGATACACGGAAGGAACGCAAAAATGATGGAAGAACAGGAAAAAAGCTGAAACTTCTGAATAGAAACGAAACTTACTTGCTTGATACTTGAATGGCCCGTCTCCACTGGTTATGGGGCCCCAGTGTAATCTCCATTTTTCGGAGATTTGCTAGTTAAGCCATTGTGGTTCCTTGGAGTCCCGAGGTCAGCTTGGCCAAAGTCTGCTCTAGGTCTTCACCACCACAGCCTGTTGCAGCCCTTGTGGATCGGAGGGAGATTTATCACCATGCGACTTTAATACCAGTACGGTGGTGGATCCTGGTATTGGTTTACTCTTAGCTAGGCTTTTTGATGGAAACGCCGGACCCTTTCTCAGCTTAGGAGACCCTGCCAGGGAATGAATCCCCCGCTGTGCATCGCAGTCCAACACCCAGAAATACTTCCCAACCACGATGAGGCGGTAAACGGTTCGGTGGATAGAAACGAAAACAGCAAGAAAACCGACATTCTACCAACTGTATTGAAGCGCCAGATTTGGATCCCCACTCCCGGTTTTTTGTCGGCGATGAGATATTATTGGAAAAAAGAGTAAAGACCTGAGGTTAAGAAATCCTTCAAAGACCTCAACCTCCTCCTCTTCATTATCGATGAGAAATTAATCGGAATTATGTGGCACTCGTTCTCCGTCAATATGACCGAAGACTACAATAATACAATTTTTGACTAGTAATTGATAGATCAATATTTTTCAATCATTACTATGGAACATATTAGCAGTACTGACTCGGTAGATGTAAAAAAAAACATGAAAGACACAAGAATACACATAAAATACTACACGGAATCATGCGAAAATCTGGTATAATCGTAATTGTAGGCTGTAAGCATTCAATTTCTATTAGTAATTAATTAGTCATCTTTACATACATGCATACACAGTATGCATACAATACATAAATACCCCAACGGTTTTCCGCCTCATCGTGGCTGGGAGGTGTTCCTGGGTGTCGGGTTGCGATGTATAGCGGAGAATTCATCCCTCCAGCAGGGTCTCCCAAGCTGAGAACGAGTCCGGCGTTCCCAACAGGAAGTGTAGCCAAGAGTAAATCATTACCAGGATAAATCACCGTCCTTTTATCGAACTAGTCGCATGGTGGCCAGTCTCTCTCTGATCCACAACGGTGACGACTGCCTGAGGTGGTGACGACTTTGGGCGGACTTTGGTCGGGCTATCGCTATGATGAGTAGCGATTACCGCAATGAATGAGCAGCTCCTTCTATAACACTGCTAAGGTCACAACTCCTGAAGCACACTAACCATTGAAAAGTTGTCGAGAGTTGTCAAAGAACTGGCATCGTACCCAATGTGAAGTCGAATTTTTGACAAGCAACTTGTTTTATCTTATTTTCAATCGATATAATCGTGGTTGTTCTATGGTATAGTAGAATATCAAGCCACGAAGTAAACATCGTAATGTACTTTCCACAACTCAGACAAATTCATTAAATACCGCCAGCACTATGAGTGTATGGTGGACGCTTCTTTTGGCACAAACAAGAGTTAAATATGGTCCAAACACGTGAACACATAAACAAAAGAATATAGCGGATGCATGGAAGTCGAAGAGACACTGAAAATAGGTGCAGGAACTGAGTAGTAGAAAGAAAACCACAAGTAAACTGTGCGTCCCGTCTCTTGCGCGGTCCCGCTGAAGTGAGCAACGATTGCGCACCAATGACACGCGGTGCGACAGTCGTTGCGCGTGGCAATGACGTGCGGTCATGGAAGGGTTAATGGCTACAGTAGTCCAATCTGTGGACATCTGGTGGCATAGTTCTTGTGGGAACAACATCGCGTAATTTCCGTTCTCCGTGTAGAAAATCTGCTACTGTTGCTTAGATACATCTCAGTGCATCCTAAGCACTATCATCTACTATTGTTTCGTTGCTTAGTTCAGAAACTTCGTGATTTCCTTCCCATCTGATTGTCTTTCCCTTTGTTGCGTATTTCCGTAGGATAGAAAATTTATCTCCGTAGTTCCGAAAATCTTCGATAATAGCATTGTTGGCAATTTTATTCGAACGAGTACGAAAACAGGTTCAGATTCCATTGCTAACGAGCCCATGAGGTCTCTCTCTGCTATGCTCAGATAATATTCACGATCGTTTGTTCATTATTAAAAGTTATTTAGCTTAATTACCGGTATACTTGTTTGTTATCTGAAGTTAATATGGATGGTTCACATCCTGCAAATCTCGCTCATTGGTGACTTGGATATAAACTTGTTTAGATTTTCAGCCGCAGTTAGTTGGGGATTCAGTTCCCTTGTCGTCCATTAGTGATGTTACTCAGCTTACCGTTGCTGGAAAATTTGATCAAAGGTGAACGAAGTGGCAGAAATCGTAGACAACAACTTGGAGATTACGTGGATCGCATGCACTGGGATGTGACAGGTAGGTGAAGAGTGGTGAATCCTTCCTTTTGGGACTAGACATGTTTTGGCTTACCGTTTGTCCTAGTGGTTTACAACTTCGTTTTGTTTAAGTTTGTATCCTTTGTGTCTTCGCATTGCTCGTTGGATCGAAGCAACACTTTGGGAATCCGATCGACTGCTTCATATCGGCAGAAATCGATAGTAGGTCTTGTTTCCTCTACATTTTTGTGATATTGGGATACTTACTAAGTATCCAATGAGTAGTTTCACTTACTAGCTTGTAGTAAAGTTAATTTAGTAGCTAATGGTCAGATCCAAATGTAGTTTGCATGAAGACATCATCAAAAAGGTCTTCGTGACTTTATGCTTGTGTATAGGAAACTTTCTTCGTAACCAACTGTTTTTTGTTGGTTTTATGGATCGAGGTATACATTATGTTTGGTTCAGTATCGGATGGAGATTTCAATATTGGATTTAAGGTTTATAAGGTTGGATTGCGATTTAAAAGGATAAAAGATAAAGCTCTCGGCGTTGATCAATCCTTGAGGAGTGCACCATGCATTCGGCTTCATTAAGTATCGTTGGAGGTGGTTGAATGCATATCTCGCCTTTACAATGACTCGCGGTGGCCTACTGATGTATCAAGCCAGTCTTGTTATCCTCCCAAACAAGTCTGGTACCAATTTGCCGACCTCGGAGGGATGGAAGGCTTGGTGAGACTGGGGCGAGGCAGTCGATACCATGGGTATTGCAGGGCGCATCCGACCACTGCGTTACACGCACCTTGATTGCAATTCACCAAGTGAAAATACTTCTTACAAAGATACTTCGATTTTCTTATAAAGTCCACCAATCATTTTCTTGAGCTGGGATTCTATGGAGAAAGCGATATTATCATAAAACGCTCCATAAATGCTCTTTATGTTATATCCCTATTACGTTAGGTTCGGTCCACAATGTGACGAAATTGTCACTAAAATTTTTTATTTTTAAGTACCTGATCGCTGTATATGCTGCTTTATACATTATTTAAGTCACTTTCAGAAATCCGCAGCTGGCAGAAATATATTCTGGGATACTGTTTTACCCAAGGGACTTATCGTTACGATTTTGGCTTAAATGTAACGAGGCCCAAACTGTATGTTCGTGACCAGTTCGATGCAAAGTACATATCTGTCAAGTACTACCAGCTGGGTTTTTGTTCTATCTTAGCGTTTTGAAACCTATTGAAACTCAGAGAGAGAAATGCTGTTTCTAACAGAAGCAGATTTCTAAGGTTAGAACTTTTTGTGCTCATTGCATTTGTTTTAATGGGTTCCGTTCTTCTTTGCCTTTCAATTGCTCTGCTTCATGATGCCGGATCTTTTCTGGATCTACATGCAGTCGTGTCTATGTAAGTGTAATTGTTCTTTCTGGTTAAGTTGTTCTTGGTAATCCATTGAACCATATCTTCAGATATTGATATGTCGATGATTGTTACGGAGAGTTCGGAGTTGAATATGGAAAGGTGCCCCTCTGACCGTTCCTCTAAGCTGAACAGAGTAGCTGATTACATCTTCAGCTATTTCTACTACAAAGGAATTGCTAGGGTAAGTGAAGCAGCTCTCTTTGTCACTGTTTTGTTGTTAAACTTGAAAGAGGCTTTATTTCTCATTGATACTCAGAGTGATTCCGATCCTTAAACAGCGGTTATCCTTTTCATTTAGTGTCTTTTCATTACTTGGATACTTGGAATAGCCCGTCTTCACTGGATATGCGAGCTCCACCATAATTTCCTTTGTTTTGTAGTTTTGCTGGTTTAGCCATTGTGGTTCGGTGGAGTCTCGAGGTCGGCCAGGCCTAAGTCTACTCCACGTTGTCACAACCACAGGCAATCGCCGCCCTTATGACGGGGATTTGCCACCATGCGACTAGTTTGAAACCACGTCGGTGGCGGACTCCGGTATTAGTACTGATTTTCTCTTAGCTGGATTTACTGGTAGAAGCGCGGACTGTTTCTCAACTTGGGAGACCCTGCCGGTTGTATAAGTTCTCCGCTGTACATCGCAGCCGGACACCCAAGAACACCCTCTCAGCCACGTTGAGACCGTAAGCCATTGGGACGGTCTTTTCATCTACACAATCAAGTTATTAACCGGCAACTACTTGAACATAGGCAAGCGGCAGCATTTACTGTGACATTATCTCTCCGAGGCAGACTTTGGCTAGGCTGTCCTCGGGGCTCCAGGGAACCACGGTGGCTAAACTAGCAAAACTCCGAAGAAATCGAAATTATGCTGGGATCCGCACAATCAGTGAAGACGGGCTATCGAAGCATCCAAGTATTATTTCTTCACTGTACCGTTTAATTTATCTGAAACTGTTTCATCCACCGTGGTTCTTTTCAGCGCGGTTTCATACCCTCATTATTTCGTCTGCCAGGTATAGCAACTGCATTCTACATTATTACGAAATTCTTCTATCTTCTAAATGCATTGTTGCAACTTTATCTCATTACGTTCTTTCTTGGTTTTCCTGATATGCATTGGGGACTGAAGGTGAAATTTCTTTATTAGATTGCATCTATCCAAGAAGCCTATCGATTTTTTCCTCAGGTTATGTTCAGTTTATTGAAACAACAATTTTTTCCTCGTGTTATTGCTGGGCCGCTAGAATTCAATGAACGTCTGTCGCATTTCCCATATTTCCCACTTGAAGTTGGCTGTAACTATACCAACGTGAGTTGGAGCTTTTTTCATTTATTGCCGTAGTCCTTGATGCTGTTTTTTTCTTCTGAGGGCCACATCAATCCCGGAACCTTTAAGGCTTTCTTGGCTACTAGTATTTGCAGATTGAACTGTCTTAGGTTGATAATTTACCGACTTTTTATGGGAATCTTGTGGATAAGGATTTCCCAGTTGTTCCTTTTTCCAGGAATTGTTCCTTTTTTACAAGTATGGTGGGGAAGATTTGTTTCCGCTAACTTTCTATTTTTGGAACTTTTCTAATCGTTCTGCACGGTTATTTTTTCAGATGGAAACCAATAGTAACCTACACATCAGTTCAATTCAGTGCATTATTCCCCTTAATTATATAAACGAGAAATTGTTTTTATTTCTTTGGTTCTGGATTGTAATCGTTAGTTTTATTCTTTTTTTGACTTCGTTACAACTACGATTTTCTATCATCTGGATTGCATTTGCATAATTTTCAGCTGATATTGATTACCAGTGTTAACATTGTCGTGTTTATTGGATCGATCATGAACAAATCTCGTAGACAAGAAGCGATTCTCTCGATTCTTAAGGTTCGCAAATAGTAGGGTTTCTGGTTTTGTACTTAAGGACCAAAAACTCCGAGCTTAAGGAATCGTGTGGTTCGCCAATGGTCACCTTATGTCCATTTCTCTAATCAAATATCCATGTTAAACCTTAAGCCATCAATGGAAGTGTGTGAGCTGATGTTCACTCATATTTTAGGAGAAGAATGACGAGGATTTCATGAATAGTAAGTGCGATAAGGCCCATATCTTCATCGATAGTGTAAGTGTGCTGGTTTACTTAATAACTTTTCAAGCACATTGATTCCCGTACCTTTTGTGCTTCAGTTAAGACAAACCAGTTTCTTGCTTATGAGAAATGGAATCGTTCCAATCGGATTTTTGTTATCTCAGTTTATGGGCGCTGACGGTGTGCTACTGATGCGATTCATAACTGCGAAAGCAGGACCGCTAACTTGTCGCGATGTGCTGCAAGAGGTGTGGCTGAAGTACTATAAAGAACGAGGAACAGTACTGAAAGTAACAGAAAACGATGAAGATTGGAGTATGCAATACAGCGAAAATTGTTCTTCCGGTTCGTATTATGCAGATGGCTGCTCAGTTCGAACTGGTTTGAACAGTAACTGATAGAGAGCGTGTCGAGAAGTATTTTTATTAATATGATAGTTTTAATATAAACGTGGTTTACTGGTGATTTAGTGCTACTCATGAATAAGGAAGCTTCTTAATGAGGATTTGCAGATGTTTTTTAAAAATATTTTTCGATACTGTTCCTATATATAACCCTGAAGTGGTACATAATTTAAGGCCAAACTTCTATTCGTAGTTGTTGTATCTACATTTTGGTGCATGTGCTTTTCAGTTATGACGAATTTAGAGATAACAAGAGCTCTATTTAGTATGGTATGACAGAGGATTTATCCTTGAGTTCAGACATGCTTCAAAACGTTGTAGGGTGGTGTTTATAGTTGTAATGAACTTCGAGGAACAGAACGTTAACATATTTAGTTCTTTGTCTACATTTGTGATAAATTATGGTTTTTATGTCGTTTTTACCTGGTCGAAAACTGGAGAGGGCTACACTCTACATAAGGATGACGTCACTGAGCTTTTTCAGGGCTTTCTTTATCTTGATGCATGCAAAAAGCTTGATCCAGGATGCTAGTGAGGATAGGGCGTGGATGTCTGGATGTATGTATTGTCAAGTATTACGGATTTTATCCTAATAGTTCTCTTTGTTACTATCTCCTTGGATTGCTTAGCTTACAAATGGTTTTTGCCAAACCTTCATTACCTTCATTCAGCTAACTTTAGGATGCGTCATCCTTTTTTTATAGCCGAAGTGGATCGAGTCTAATCTAGTGCGGCGGATCACGACTCGTAAGGGAAGGCTTTTAACCTCTTGTAAGCCGAACAATTCAAAAAGATATCGATTGTTCATGCCGCGTTCAAATAGAAGTCACTTTGCAAAAGTAGTTCTCTTTGTTGTTCTTTCGTATTTCTAATAACGTCATGTTCTGTAATGTCTGTATCTGGTTGATCCATTGGTGTAATAATGATGTTTATATGAAACACTGAAAAAAACTGTCGTCGTTGACCTATGCCTAAGGGGTGCGCCATGAGTTCGACTTCATTAAGGATCGTTGGAGGTGATTGAATGCATAGCTGACCTTTGCAATGGCTCGCGTTGACAAGATAAGTGTGGTGCGAATGTGCCAACTTCGGAGGAATGGAACGCATGATGAGCCTGTAGTGCGGGAATCGATCTCATGTGAATTGCGTCTTGATACATACAAGCACAAACACATATAAAGACATACACGCAATTACACATGCATAAAAACACGCAGAGAAAATCCTGGAAGAAACACGTGTTGATAAGTTTAGTATTCTGCATGTTTTGAATGATAGTGTTTGTTTTTTTTTCAAGTTTGTGATGATAATTGAGAAGCTACGAGCGTGGTTCAATTCAGCGGTATAAGCTATGGTATGAAGTCATATGAAGTCGGTGAGTTAATGAAAATACTCTGGATTTGATTATGACGCAGGTATAGCTGAACAGTACAGTAGGAGTGCAAGTACATGAGTTTATGTGTGTGTTCTGTTTCAGAGCAGATTTGTATCTTGATGATAATGCACTCCAATAAATTTTTCCACTGAAGTGGACGTGACTAGTTCTTTGTCCTTAGTATTGTGACTTTTCAGTAGTATACCACTAACCTCTCTCCTAGAGGGATCTCGAGTCGGTTATTCGATGGACTACGTGAAGCATCCTCTGGTGGTGAATAGGGAGTTAATCGCGGAGCAAAAGCGACCTTTGCTTCCCTGAGACACAGGCGGATCCCGGGGATGAACTCCCTGTTTCTGCTGCACTGATTTGGCACATACTTTCTGTATTTGATAGGCGTATTCATGCATGCGTGTGTGGGTGCGTTCTTGCTTATGCGGATTGTATTCTACGAGTCAATTTGGCCAAAAGCCTGCAGTAAAATGGCAGGGATTATTTGGAGACGGTTAGGATTTGCCTCCAGCAAATACGCGCCCTGTCTATTCTGAGACTTCGAGCACCCGTGAGTATAACCAGCCTTCGTTTACCTTCAGAGCGCAGCAAGGGTGTATCAAACGCTAAACAAGTGGTTCTAATTCCCCTGACCACGAAAGAATCAATGATATGGATCCACTAAGTAGAACGAGTACGGAAACATTGCTAGTATCTCAGGGCCATTATAGGTTTTCTAAACATTGAAGGACTAAAGTGACGACTTGCACCTACAATTCATGCATATCTTCATCTAAAACGTCGATAGAAGGCTTGGTCATGCAGACAAGAAGGATAAGGTACGACGTCAACTGACTAGCGAGAAGACGCCACCCTTTCAACACCGACTATGGTACTGGAGAAGAACTGTTCCTCCGAACATGCGAGAATAAAGAACTAGGAGGCGTCGGTGGACATCGATTCATTCGAACAGCTAACAACTCGAATCAGACGTTTGCGACTGAAGAGATGTGGATCAATACCGTCTTTAACTTCGTCTACACACCGACATCAGGCTATGAAGACGAAGTCGAAGCACTTTTTTATGCACTTGGATAAGCTCTTTAGAGAACACCCAGTCATGGAAGCCCTAGACAGTTAAGAAGTCCCTACTTAGCGTACAAAGATTCTTCGCGAGCTGTATAAAAATTTCATAATCAAGATATCACCATGATGTTAAAATCGACGTCAAAAGTGGTGTTAAGCAAGGCAATACCATCTTGCCAAAATTATTTACCGCCACTCTCGAGAACGTCATGCAAACATTAGAGTGGGATAATGTGGGAGTGGAAATCGATGTCCATCAATTACACCATCTTCACTTTGTTGATGGCATCGTTCTTATGAGACTACGTTAGCCAGGTGAAACGAATGCGAATGCTTGCCGACTTTGATAACGCTTGTGGAAAGATTGGTCGTGGACTAAATCTCCACAAAACTATGTTCATGAGGAACGAATTCGTTTCTTATACTCTGCTAATGTTCAATGTATTCAATATATGTTCAATAAACGCTCCTGCTACGTCTGTCTAGTTCGTGAAATCAACATGATAAACGATTAAGCGCCAGAGTTGGGCAAGAGGAAACGAGCGGCTTGAGAACCTTTGAGAGTGTCGAGGATGTAGTGAAGAAAACAAAGAACACCCAATTCTGTGCTCACCTTTTGCACTCCGCGATTCTTCTCCATTAACGTTTGCGTGAGAAACGTGGTCGCTGCTCAAACAGGATGACACATGGCTGTGTCATAGAACGCGCAATTGAAAGGACGATGCTAGAATTATTCCGTTTCGTTCAACTGAGTGACGAAATGGATCCGAAGCTCCGATCCATGTCAACGATCGAAAATCAAAGTGGACGTTCCATACGCCAAATTGTTGAAAATAAGGCAGGCGGGACACGTAGTGTGTATGAATGACAACTGATGGACAAGAGCTGTAATTGACTGAATTCCTCTGGATGTCAAAAGCAATGCAGGAACTCCATCGGCCTGATGTTCAGAGTTCTTCACGAACACTCTAGAAGAAAGATACGATGCTTGATGAGTCCCTACAGTGATCAGACCTCACCGGCCCACTGTTGCACACAAAAGGGAAAAATGAAAGGTTTACTCCCGCCCGCTCAACTCACTGTACGGGCAACGGAGCGACAAGTGATGCAGGTGACACAGGTGATACCACATGGGACTAAGAAAAAACTCTTCTGCTAATATAGACCGAAATTCTAGTTGTAAATGGGATCGCTAAAGAATATCGTGTTGGAAAACTAGTCAGCATTTAACTCTGACATTTGACATTGACTATTTTCGGCGATATGTATTCGTGTGCATTAATATTTACGTGTCAGTCATTTTCAACCATTCAGCAATCGTACAAGCTTTCGCGTAGATTAAAATGACAAAGAAATGCAATAAGAACGTCTAGCTAAAATTTGGAATCAGTTTTGTAGTCAATTTTGGCATCAGATCTCGTATCTTAGGTGTCATCTCAGCCATTTGACAGATTCTCTACCACGGTTTTTAAAAATAAAAGAAAAAAGATGCTCGAAAGTGAATCCGAGTTATTTCACACCTTCGCTTAAAGCATTTGGTTGTGTCCAAAAGTGTCCAAGATTTCGTGAGTCTAAATACTACATGTCGAGCTCAAAAAACACTAGCGAAGCATAGAGCGCAGAGATATGTAGAGCGTCTTTCTGGACAGATTGCTAAATACGCACGCTAAGGATATGCATTGATTGGATAAGCGCATTGAGGTGCGCCAGTTGTCGTAGCAGTATGACTGGTTACCGAAAGGAAGCACAAGTCCAGTAATACTCAGCATTGGTAATATAATAGTAAATTTTCATTTACGACATAGGATTCTCTTTTATCTGAAGTGAAATCACAGATGTAAAGTTCATTTTTCGATTTTAAATCACATTTTTCCTTACGGTCGTGTGGATAACACTTGAAATGCCGGAGAAATTGTTATTTTAAGGAAGGCCAAGAGAAAGGAAAAGAGAAAAAAGGTTTGAGCGACAGTGGAAGCATTGCTCAGCTAGGCTGGTTGTGTTTATTTCAATTGTTTCTTCTCTGTTAGCAAAACTATCACGAAGTGCCTCTTATTTTCTTAAGTCAAACAACTTAAAAGAGTCTATAACAAAAATGGTTCACTTAATGTGTCGGATTAATAGATTAATCTACCATAGATAGGAATATAATGTTATGAATATTTTCGTTTCCTTACGAAACAATATGTGCATTATCACAACGTAAATTCAGATAGCAAACCTGCTAATGTGGTCAATTCTACAACACCCATTGCAGAAGTGACAGTAACGAAGACCGAAGTAAGCTAAAGTGCGCGGATAGTAAGGTGGATAGAGTTGCTCTGCAATACACATGCGGTTGTTGATCCAACTCCGCGCCTTGGGTACACCAAGCCCTCCATTCGTCCAGTGTGGGAAAGTTGATACCTAACTTGTCGGGTAGGATAGGAACAGTCACTTCATACATTAGTAGGCTACAGTGGATCATCTATAGGCCAATTATGCACTAGTCGTCCTTAGCAAAACGAACTAGAATATGCGGCAAATTCTCAAGGAAGTGACAACGCCAAACGTTTTCAGCTTTTGGATATGTTTGCGTTTAGGGCTTACAACCCTTTCCGACCTAATGGTTTCCGCTGTCATCGTAACAGAGAGTGTTTATGGTTGTTAAAGGACCACGTACACCCTCCACATATGCGTGTGGATTCGGCTACCATTGGAAAATTTCGTCTTCATAGGTTTTGCTGAATGTTGATGGAATACTCTGCAATCCTGTTGCAGCTGTACCGGACTATTCCCAAGTTTTCGCCACTGGTAGTTCTCAGTCTTTATGATTCGAAGGGATTTATTTCTTGAGAAAGCTGTTGAATTTTCTGGTCTTAGAAGGATGGAAGGTTTGGAAAGGACTGGAAGGACCAAACTTGTTTTGTAGGGCACCTCTCACCACTACCTTGTCGCGCCACATAAGGTGGCCATATAAAGTGCTTGTTATAGCTTACGCGCATGAGCAATGATGGGAAAAGATTTCAGGGTACGAAGAATAAAGGAAGTCGTGAATCACCGTCAGATACTGAAATAATTGCAAAGACCAAAAGAAGAAAAATGAAGCACGATCGAATGTCTCGTAGCACACATAGGAGAGCTCGAAGACGTGCTACAACGGCCCACATCGATGAGCCATCGATGCTAAAAACAGAGAGAGATGAGCACGATGGCGTACCGAAAGCGAAAAGTCCACGACAAAAGGAGAACGTCGACGGTCCACCGAAGGCAGGATCTCCATTAAAAAGGCCCGCAGAGAAGAGTTCGAAACCGCAATCTTCCGATAATCGTTTTATTTGGGCTCAAAATCTCCTACTTCATGTGGTTCGTTTTTTTTCTGTTGCTATTCTAGCATTAAAAAATTTTTTCGGACTGCGTCCTGATTAGAAGCGAGCTTGTGAGCCATTTTCTGCAATTCTACAGAACTAAACAAAAACGTTTGAGAATAACATACATTTCCCGAACGTCAATGAAACATAGACATTAAACAAAAAACAAGTATAAACAAAAATTTACGAAGGGGACAAAAATTAACATAACTATAAATTTTTCAGACTACAGTATCGATTAGAAAAGAATTTATTCAAAATAAAAAGTACAATCCAGCAGAATACACATTTGAACGTTATAAACAAAACATGATGAAAAACAGGTGAGATTAAAACAAAAGAAAACCGGACTGTTATAGTTTTATTAGCAGTAGTCAAATTAATGGGGCAGATAGTACAGTGGGGTAGTGATGTCGGTCGTCATGAGCATGGTGCTAGTTCGATTCCATTCCAAGCCACAAACTCTCTCATCCCTCCGAAGTCAAGAAATTTGTGTTGGACTTCCTCAGGAAAAATCACTCTCTGCAGTCGAATTGAGAAGCCTCTATCCTAGCATCTCAGGTCTCTAAGGAGAATCGATTGGACCAGCATTCTACGACTTGTGCCACCTGAATCACCTGTAGCCCCGTTGATCGTCGAGTGACTCAAGCGGGCGCCAGTAAATCTTCCATTTTTCCCTGTCGCGTACAAGAGTAGCCCGGTGGGTTCAGCTCACTCTAGGGACTCGTCGAGCATCATATCTTTCCTCAAGGCTCTTTGTGAAGAACTCTGACCATTGGGTCGGTGGTCTTCCTGCAGTACGTTTGACATCACGAGGAATCCAGTCACTAACGGCTCTTGTCCATCGGTTGTCATTCATACGCATTACGTGTCCCGCCCACCTCACCTTCGACTGTTTGGCGTACAGAACGGCATCTTTGATTTTTGATCGTTGACGCAGATCGGAGCTTCGGAACCCATCCCTCACTTGTGTGGAACGGGATACTGCTAGCATCGTCCTTTCGACTGCGCGTTCGATAACGCTGAGTGACCTTTCATCCCGCTTACGCAGCGATCAGGTTTCTGACGCATACGTTAGGGCAGGAAGTACCGATTGAGTCGAAAAGGTGGGCACGGAGTCGGCTGTTCTTTGTTCATTTCACTACAACCTCGATGCTCTTGAAAGCTTCCCAAGCCGCTCGTTTTCGTCTGCTCAGCTCTGGAGCTAGGTCGTTTATCACGTTGATTTCCCGATCTAGATAAACGTAACTGGAGCATTCGGAGATATTCGTTCCATTGAGCGTGAATGGGGCATACGAAACCAAACCGTCCCTCACGAACATCGTTTTTATAAGATTTAGTCGAAGATCAATCTTTCCACTGGCTTTATCAAAGTCGTCAAGCATACGTTCCGTTTGGCTAATGTTTGGTGTTATTAGGACGATGTCATCAGCAAAGCGAAGATGATGTAGCTGCCGACCGTCGATTTTCGCTCCCATATTATCCCATTCCAATGTTCGCATGACGTTCTGGAGGTTGGCGGTAAATAATTTTGCGAGATGGTATCGCCTTGCCTAATTCCTCTTTTGACGTCAATGTTAATATCGTTGTAGAATGGTGATATCTTGGTTGTGAAATTTTTGTACAGTTCACGAAGAATCTTTGTGTATTGAGTAGGGGATCCTTGATTATCAAGGGCTTCCATGACTGCTTCTACCTCGACTGAATCAAAGCCCTTCTGTAAATCGATGGAAGTGAGACAGAGCGGTCTTTTGTACTCTCGTGTTATCTACTACTCTTGTTATCGTGCCGATGTGGTCCATAGTACCAAATCCTTTTCGAAACTCTGCTTGTTCACATGGTTGTCCTTCGTCCTGTGTTCTGTAAATTCTGTAAATCCTATTTTGGATGACTCGAGTGAAAAGTTTGTAGACGACAGACAGTAAGCAGATTGGGCGTTAGTTGCCGATATCGTGTAGGTCACTTTTTATGAACAATAACACGGTCTTGCTGGTCTTCCACTGAGTAGGGACCTTGCATTCAGACAGGTAACGTGTGAAGAGCCGAGCCAGTGTGTTTACGAGGACTGGCGGAAAGTTCTTCAGTGTTTTGGTTTTACCCTGTCCGGACCTGGTGCTGTTCGATTTTTCACCAACGAAATGGCATAATGGATTTCAGAAGGGAAAACAGGTGGTGCAGCATATTCATATCCTATTATTTTATATGAGGGAAGGAGGATGTGGCTATTAATGAGACCTGAGTAGCATTTGTGAATGATTTTCACCATTGCCTTTCTGGACGTTGTAAATGTTCCGTCTGGGCGCCAGAATGCAATCATTTTGGTCTTGTATTTGGCAAAGCTTCGGTGGGCTTTGCGAATGCTTTTCCCAGCCTCTGCTGCTTCGACCATTACTGCTGCTCTTCTCTCCTTAAGATCTTCTTTTATCGCCTGTCTGCATTGTCTTGCAAGTTCCGACGTCAGTTCGCGATCGCCTGCAGCTCGTGCGATTCCACGCTGGCGTATCAGCTCGAGTGTTTCTAAAGACAAATGTCTCTTAGTAACTTTCGAACTCTCAGCTTTAATAGCGCTAACGTGAAGATGTTGAATGACCCGATCGTATTCTTCGTCGATGTTGTCGACAACGGCATTTTCCCAACAGCCGACTAATGAATTGAATAAATCCCAGTTTACTGTGGTTCTGGGACTTCGGTTTTGGAATTTAGCGGCTTTTTCTCCCTTCCACAAGAAATATAACCTTGCACGAAGTAGGGGATGGTGTGATCCCGCGTAGGATTTTGGGACAACAGCGATGTCGGTTAGGCAAAACTTTCTATTTACTACGTGGTTTATTTCGTTATGGTACTCTCCATTTGGAGACTCCCACGTCCGGCGTTAAGGTGGGGCTTCTGGAATTGCGAGTTCCCATGGATTGTCTTGGTCGCCATGATAAACTCAGACAGCCACTCACTTTGTTCGTTCTATTCTAATCCGTTGGTCCCAATGTGACGTTCTTCAGACCTTCTTCTCGGTCTAATCTTGGCGTTGAAATCTCCAATGATGACCTTGAAGAATATGTGGTCTTCTCTGTAGAACTTCTCCAAGTCCATATAGAACGCTTCGACTTCTTCTCATAGTTTGATGTCGGCGCGTAAACGACGAAGATTGTCAAAGCCGGTATTGATCCACATCTCCTCAGTTGTAGACGTCCGATTCTGGTTGTAAGTTGTTCGAATGAATCATGGACATGGACATGTTCATGGACAAACTCGCGTTAACGAGAGCACCGACACCGTCGACTCCTCTACTGTCGCATGTTCTGAGAAACAGTTCTTCTCTGTTGTCATAGACGGCGTTGAAAGACTGGCGTCTTCGCGTCTCGGCTATGCCGATGACGTCGTACCTTATCCTTCTCGTATGCTTGATCAAGTCTTCTATCGACGACTCGGATGCAAGTGCACGTGCATTGTAGGTGATGATCGCCACCATAGTTCTTTGAAATCCAGGCAGCTTCCATTGGCTCTGAGATTTTAGCAGATTCTCGTTACTCGTCCTTCCCAACGCTGCGAAATTGCGGGCTCTTTCGAGGTCAGGGGAATGAGGCTCGGTTTTTTACACTGTGTTTAGCACTTTTGATACCCGCGTATAGATTGCTGGGCTCTGAACGTGGGGGCAGGGTATACTCACGGTTAACTTGCCAGGCTTTCCCAGAGTGGACATAGAGCTTGTTTGTTGGAGGCGACTCCTAACCGCCTCCCATATACTTCCCAGTCACTTGATTGTAGGCTTTTGGCCGAATTGACTCGTAGAATACAATCCGCATAAGCAGGAACGCACCCACACACGCATGCATGAATACGCCTAGCAAATACAGAAAGTATGTGGCAAATCAGCGCAGCAAAAACAGGGAGTCCATCCCCTGGATACACACTCGTCTCAGGAAAGCAAAGGTTGCTTTTGGTCTACGATTAACCCCTTATCCGCCACCTGGAGACGCGCTACGTAGCCTTGCAACTAACCGACTCGAGATTCCTCATATGAGGGAGGTCCGTGGCATTCTACGACATTCAAGATTAAATGAAAATCCTCAAGCAGACGAAGCCACACGTAAAAGTTGGAAGATCTTTGTGGACAATGGATACGTGGAAACGAATCGAATGTGAGAAGTGCTGAGATCCTCACAGTAGACGTGAATAAGGGTCATATAAAATTAGAAGTAAACAAAATGGTCAAATTTGTGCTCATGTATAAACAGATTTGGCAGACAAAGAGTACCATGGGTGCGCTGAATGAACTATTATCCCTTCCATTTTATACTTTACATGACCCGACATCATATAATGTGAGGATTCCAGCTCTTTTTTCACTCGATTGGTTTCCTGGTATCCACCATTCACGAAGTTCTTCGCATCTGCATCTAGATCTGAGTGCAAATTTAGGATTTTGGTCTTCATCATGAATGTTATAGAGTGCTGGTCAAGTCGATTCTTCCTGCAACATTGGGTTGAACGCTCTAAGGTGCTGCCACTTCTTCATCATAAGCAGTTGACAACTTTATGGATTTCTGGATTGGAGGGAATTCTACGACAAGTGTAGCGTAATAATTTCTTGAGCTCGAACTGATGGGAGGCTTGCCTGCTTGGTTCGGTGCTGGTACGAGCCAGTAGCCTAGCTCGTACTACACAACGACGTTTCTTTCTCACGCTTCTTACTTTTATAAGCAAAGTACCAGTAGACTGAAATTGATAATAAAGACGTGTTTTTAACATACTTTGTGAAAACAATAGCGAACAGCGATCGTTTTGCTTTATGCAAATGATCATCGGCACATAAAACTGGAGTTGTGTTGTTTCAAAAAGATGACGATATCGTTCAGTGTCAGTTTTATATTTGTAGATTTTATCCTAAATACGAAGATTTCACAGGTATGAGGACGTGATTTGTATGGATGAGAATCGTGTGATTTTAAAACAACGCCCCTCTGACAATGACTATATTCATGCAAATTGGATAGTGATGCCCGATGGACAGAAATACATTTGCACCCAGGCATGTTCTCCCAAGCAAAGTCCTCTCTTTCCTTTTACTTTTTTCTTTCTTTTTTTGACACTCTCAGCTGTTGTAAAAGTGAAAGGCTTTTTTATTGATGTTCTTTACTCATCAGAAAAGGGATATGGAAATAATCTTCCAATGGCAGAAAATTTAGAAATATCGCGACTTTCACGAATTTCACCATAGTTTGGTGTAGCGATATTTCCACGGAGTTGGCTGAATTGCAGGGTCCGTTGCAAGAAACACTTGAGGATTTCTGGCATATGATTGTAACCGAACAATGTTGTGTGGTGGTGATGTTATGCCCGTTGAGAGATGGTGACTCTTTGTATTGGTAGATGCTACGTGTGCTTTTCACATGTCTCAGGATCTGATTTCTATTCACCGTAGATTTCTAGGCTTTTTTTTGCTTTACTTCATAGTACTTCAGTATTGCTTTTACTGGTATAATTCAAAAAGTCGTTGATTTCGAATATCAGCAATGTTGGATTCGCAGTAAAACGAACTTGCTAAGGAAACAATGAGAAATGCGCCCTTTACTATCCGAGATCAGCAGAAGAATGCGGAAAATATGGTCTGTACAGAGTTTATTTTAATGAAGTGAAATCGTTTCCATGTTCTACAGTAAAATATACATTGTACAATGTCAAGATGGAAGGCAAAAAGTGAGTTTCACACTGTTTTTTTTAAAAGTATAACTAGCATGATGAAGTCAGATTTCGAACTGAATGAGAATATCGCTGACGTTGAAAAAACACCATCTATCAAGTGAGGCCAATGAATACCAGAAAGCATGCATTTGTCTCTTTGCATTATACAAAGTTGGCTCCGCTCACGGGGTCTTCCATATGACCGGGCAAGCTCACGTCTGTTTTAACAGAGAAGTTTTCCAGTTAGATTTAAGAGTGACTTTTTGGATGAGACCCTAAACGATTTCCCACACGCTTCCAACTGAAATCGTCACAGAATTTTATTCAATTATTCAAGGTGCAATAAAACTGTGCGGAATCAAACACATCTATGACGATAAGCATTAATGGTGCAATATTTCGTGTATGTGGAAGGTGCAAATGAGCTTTAGCCGCAATTTATCCATCTATGCATTTCTCCCGTGATAGAGATTCACGGGGTTTGAAGGAATCTTCAAGAATGGATCAAATAAGGAGAATCAACTTTTAAGGATCGATTCTGTGTAGGATGCGGAACGAACCTGTACCGGAAATTGGAAGCGGTTCGCATACGGTACCGTGAAATGTCACTGCAGGTCGCTTCACGTCCACGACGATAGCGATCCTGACGAATGAGGGCATCCAAAATGCTAATATTTCTGGTGGCATGTTTAGTTCCAATTTAAAACAGCAGTAAAAGCAATGATCGTCCAGTTTGCTTTGAAGACTTCTTCATTTTCGCTTTTGATGCTTCTAAAAACCTCAAGCATCTGAATTTCCATGGCTTTGACCATATTATGCTTACAGAGATTATTACGATCATCGTTTCATTATCTCCTACTGGATTTTGTTCATGAAACTCACAATTCTTTGACGGCCCATTATCTTTCCTCCGTGGTTTTAGGAAAGTGCCTTATTCAACGGTGGTGCATCATTTTATGTTTCATGATTGGCCAGATCATGCCGCTCCTCTCGATCCATCTCCTGTTATTGCGATGGTAAAATTTGCTCGTCAACTTTGCAACAACAATCCTATTGTTGTTCATTGCTCGGCAGGAATTGGTCCATCTGTTTGTTTCATAGGTAGGTTACGATGGTGAATACTATGGGGCACTTCTCTTAGATTCTTTATTCGATGTCTGTGTGGAATAAATCAAGCCTCATGATATCGAACTCCTGAAAGATATGTTAGAGCTTCTATTTTGAAAAACCGTAAAAAGAGAGCAAAAAGGAGAAAGGAAACTGGGATAAGTTGACCAAAGATGACAACTTTAAGCTCGACTTTTTATTAGCCTTGATGAAACAATTCGCGGTTTTCTTGAGCTGCAATCAACGGGTTGTACTTTTACTATTTATTCGCAAAAAACCTGACGTTTTAGCGCATTCCGCCTTCTTCAAAGCTTGTAAAGTCATGTTGACTGCCTTCTACTCAAGTAAACAACTCCATAACCAAGCAGAGACAATACTAAGCCAAGAATTTCAATCGTATTGAAAGCAAAATCCATTTTTCGCACAATCACCGCGTTCTATGATTTCACTGAGTATTTCACGTGGAGACCAGCCGAGCACAGTTCACATGGATGGATAATGTACCTCTCTCCCATTAAAATACCGGTCTTGAGTATTCTATTCCACGCTGTTCATTTTCAGGTTCTTAGAATTTATCTAGAAACCCTCAAGAGTTTTTTGCGCTGAAGTTTTCGATTTCTGCTGGCAACCTGTTCTTCTTCAGTGGAATTTTAATTACTGTTACCGAATTCTCGAAGCCGGCCTTTGTAAGTGGCGCTTTATACTGCATTTGATTCGTCGGAAATGAAAAGCGGAATAAATGGGATCTTGTTCTGGCTGGGGTATCGTCTGGACCGTGCTTTTTCCTCTACAGCTATCCCGAGGTGCTACAGTTTCCTCGTCAATTTGAGGGATTCCTCCTTCTGCTCTCTTCATGTGCACTGTACACTGGTTTTCCTTGGGAATACGTTTCATATAAGCGCATTTTTTGTGTGAAGGGTGAGAAGAGTCAATGAACCAGTATGTTCCGCCTGTGTGATCGTCGATGTACAACGCAAAATTGCATAATAATACTCCAAATGTAGAAACGGTTGGAGGTGATTGAATGCATTTCTGGCCTTTACGAGGACTCGCGGTGGCCTACCGATGTATCAAGCTAGTGCTGCTATCCTCTCAGAAAAGTCTGGTACCAATTTGCCGACCCCGGAAAATGGAAGGCTTGGTGGGCCGTGGACGCAGGGTTCGATCCCATGTGTATTGCAGGGCGCCTTCGACCACTTCGCTACACGCGCCACTTTGGTGATTAATACATTGGCACAATAGGTGGGTCACTGTGCATCCATATAAAAAGAAACACGTGGTTAAAGTACAACCAAATAGTCCACTGGGCGCACATAGAACATAGAGACGTAACGAAGTAAAAGTTATCATCCTTGCACAGGGATCGAAAACTTAAGCACGCAAAACACTTGAAGCATTCCTGATAAATTCCAAGGGTCAAAAAACGAACCGCAGGAAGAAATGCCTCGTTATCACGCGTGATGTGCGACGAAGCTATTTTGTTATCAGTGCAGTTGAAGTCTTGATTTAGTAACTGCCACGACCGACTTTCTATTAACCTCGGCATTGATCAAGTGATTTTGTTCGTATTTTTGTTGAGCAAACGCGAGGTGTTATTATATCTGTTATCTTGATTTAGTATTATATTTTTCTTGTTTTGGTTATGGAGGTACTTCTCTCGGTATGTTGTAGTCACCTTGACCATACTAAACTCTAAAGAAAGGAAACGTTCCGAAAAAAATGTCAGCTGTTGTAAACAATTAATGTGCCATAACAATCCTGTGTTTTCCCATCAAGAAAATAGTTTTTATGGAGAATATTCTATGCTAAATGTTGTAATGCTATGTGATTGATACGATATGGGACCTAAAAGGTCTGCCCGGTGAATCTAGCCAAATCTCAAAATAAATGGATGGTAAAATTTGGTTTCTGAAGCGCATGGCTCACTGGTCACAAGCGCCCTATAGTACACATGGGATCTATTCCCGCCCCTTAGGTCCATCAAACCTTCCGTTCTTCCGGGGTCGGCAAATTGGTACCAGACTTGTCTGGGAGGGTAGTAGCACTGGTCCGGTACATAGCAAGGGCACCGTGAGTCGTTGTGAAGGCCAGATATGTATCCATTCATCTCCAACGATGTTTTAAGAAATCGAGTGCATGGAGCATCCCTCGGGAATTGATCAACGCCGAGAGCTTTTCTTTCAACTTTGGTTCACCTTTAGTTTCAACATCCCAATCGTCACCACCGTATGGCGCAATAGGTGATGGTTTACCGGCAATGCTGCTCCAAATCCCTCATATTGGAAAGACGATTGCGTTGTCTCACAACTGGATTCGGTAGCAATTCCATCAGATTTGATACTATATACAAAAGTTCTAGTTAAGTCCCACCCACCACAATGACGACTTTTACTGCTATTCTTGAGGCTTTGGAATTCACTGCGAAGATTTTTTTTCAAAGAATTCAATGAGAATTTCAGGTACTGATTATGTTGCACAAAAGGTTAAAGAAGATCCCAGTGTAAAAATGCTCGACATGCTAGTTTACCTTAGAAATCAACGATTGCAAGGAATTCAAAGTATAATACAGTACACATTTTTACATGTTTGTGTGCTGGAATTATTTGTCAATGTAAGATATACAGCCAATGTTTTTGTCTTTTGAATCTAAGCTTTCCATATGAGTTTGCGAAATACGGCCTAAATCCGGCCGTGAAAAACCAATGGACTTTTCCTTCTTTCACTTGATGTTCTTATTACCACCGTTTTAGAAGTATAGTTTCCCATTGCACTGCACTCAAATATATGACATGACGAGTTTTTTACAACAGTTATGGCAATTGCTTTTAGTTGTAACAACAAAAACTCTTATTTTAGGATAAGATTATACCTCGAGAAGGAAAGTATTCGGAATTTCTTAACTCATATGTAAGGATGATGACAAGATACAATAGAAGAGTTGCAGCATTTATTACCAAAGAAGTAGAAGAAGCACATCCAAATTGACTGAAAGACAAAGACTGGCTGCACTTTTTTCATTATCATCATTATCATTGTCATATTAGTACCGTTCCAGACTGCTCTGCTCTACGACCATGAAATTTAGTTTTTTTCCTTTCTTGAAGTGATTAGACATCCAAACTACGTACTTGTAGAAAACGAGAACTTTCTGAACTAGATTTTAATATTCACACGCTAGTTATCAATTGCTTGTGTTTTAATAAAGAAACTTTGTGTGATCCCTGAAAATAAGACGGAAATTTTATACAAATTCATGCCCATATTACAATATTTATCTGATAATCACATTAGTTCTTAAAACGTAAGGTACACGTCGTTCGGTGTTGATCGTCGTTTCGTAGTCATGCGTCATGAGTTCGATTCCTCTCGTAGCCTCATATGGGTGATTGAATACATATTGGGCAGGATTCGGGTAACCTAGCTATATGTGAATTCAGAAAAAAGGCGAAACAACGAGGAAGTTGACTCGTTAATAACAGAAGGTACGAAATCCATCAAAAATTGCTAGAAAACCTAACAAGCTATTATTTTTGGATAACAACATAAATTAGACAAATATTAACCGTATATTATGCGGAAGGTGGGGCGATGTGCAGTGTTAATGGTCCCTCCAAAATTTGTACTAACAGCGAATGTTGTGCGAGCTTGGAACGCAGTAGTGAGAAATACTGTGCTGAGCACATGTGGTTGCTATTTCGGTTTTCACCGTGACAACCCGTTCTTGCATATTGGTGGCCATGCCTCAAAAATATATAAGAACACATGAAAATTTATATATATATACATATTCAGGTATATATATATATATATATATATGTATGTATACATGCATATATATGTAGTGGCGGTCAATGCATCAGAAATGTAGTGATTGGTCTCATGGAGTGCAGTATCGAGCCAACTGTCAGTACCAAATAATCACTAGTTCGACATAGAATGCTCGACTTCGAACGGGCTTTCCAAGCTGGACAATTTGGTGTACCCACAAAGAAAGCTTCGAACTTCTTATTCTAAACGTAAGTTCTTGCTTATTAATGCGTCATTTTCTTGTTAAGCAATCGCGAGGTTTTTAAACAGCATACATTTACTTCCATAGAAAAACAATACAATACAACAGTAGCTGACGTTTCCGCAGTATCGCCTTTTTCAGAGCCTGGAAGGGAACACATATACAATCTACTGGGCCAAACGCTTCAATAACACACAAAAAGACGGAAACCATGATAATTACATGATCAACAGCTTCTCGAAAGACTCATCGTTTTTTACGTGACTTCCAATGAGGAAGTTTAGAACAGCTGATTATAGTCGCGCATGGTTGATGCACCATGCCACATCAAAAATCGATACGAACATAAGGGTTCAGGTCGCGTATGACCTCCGGGCATTCATCCCTGCTATTCGTTGTAGAGTTTTTGGCATTTATCCTAAAAACCTCAAGTATTCGCGCTGGTGTTTTAGTCTCCTGTGCCAGGATATTGACTTTTACTTCAAAATCGTCTCAGCTATGCTTTTGTATTCTATGCGTGCCTAGTGGGGTACTTTGTCTTAGTTTTTGTTTGCCATCTTGGTGTTTTTTATACGGCTACATAAAGGTCTGCCCGTTTCGCCAATATATTCATCTCTACAATTATTACAAGGGATCAGGTATATCGTACCTGAACTCATGCAGGGGCGGTGATTGCATTTTGGATAAAAGCCAAAAACCCTACAACGAATTGCAGGTAGGAATGCCCAAAGTTCACACGCGACCTGGCCCTACATGTTCGCATCAATTTCTGGTGTGGGATGGTGCAGTCATCAATCATATGCGACTAAAATCAGCTGTTCTAAACTTTCCCATTGGGAATCACGTAGAAAAGCGGTGAGTTTTTCGAGAAGCCATTGGAGATGGCTATTTGCCGAGCCAAGTCGCGCGATTCTTCCTTTAGTTACTTAGTAGTGCACACAGAGGTGGCTGTTGGAAACATGTTTCTCACAAGCGCCCTCTTTGTGTGTGAAGGGTGGGAGGAAAGGAAATGAATGACAATGTTCTTCTTACTTGGACTTCGGTACCGATTTGTCGCGTAATCACTAATTGATAGGTTTATTTGAACGTTTAAAAACGGAAGCCAGTTTCTTCTCGGTTTCTCCCGGGTGAACCTAATGTACTCAGACTGCTCGTTCAATAATTCAAAGCATTTGTCTATCTTTCTATATATTTTGTCTACCAGGAGAAACAAAGGACCCGCATGGTGTGGTGGTAACGCGTTACTCCCCGGAAAGGATAATAGCGCTTTCGTTTCCCACCATAGACACCTGCGGTCCAAAGTTTTGCAAATATCTCAGCAACGTTGTGGTTGTATTTCGCTTAGTAACCTGTCATGACAATTATAGAAGGCAGAAAACAAAACATTAAACATAATAAATGTATGCTGTTTAACAACCTCGCGATTGGTAAACAGGAAAACGACACATTATTTATGCCTTTGCCACCATAATTGTGATACATGAGGACGACGCAAGGGTCAACAATAGTACCCATCTGCCCGCTCTCGAGGAAGTATAAAAGGACCGCGGTCTGCTGGTGAAGCTCACACGTCGGCGTTCCTGCCACATGCCACCTTCGTTCACCTCTTGTCATAGAATTGCTCTACCGTACTTCACTGCAGGGTACCTCCTAGACAGTCGCTGACTGACCTTCCCTAGTATATCATGACGTTGTATCTGTAAGAGTTAAAAAATATTTCGTAGTTTTGTTGTATGTTAACATCTTCTTGGCTTAAGCATTGTCTTTCCTTCTCATTCGCGCTTCACCATACATAGCAGATCTCAGTGACTAGGCTGTCCATATATATAAGCAGTACTAGTCACTGCTGTGCATTACACTTGTTACCATTCTAATAATAACACATGATTAGAGCTATTTTTATTCATGTATGTATCTCCTACCACATTAATCTCATTGCACTGGACATTATTCCTCACTACTAGCACAGTAGCTAATTACAGTATGCCATTCGCGCTAACAACCATCTGGTCCCATTGGTGCGCGCGCTACTATATGCTCTTCACCTTTCTAGGTCAAATTGTACTTTTATATGAAACCTTTTTCTCATATTAATCCCATAGCCAATACAACTATTCTCCTATCTCAAGATGACTTCTTACTCATTGTCTTATGCTTATTTAGTAATTCTGTTATCATCGCACCACTTACACTGTTTCAGTATCTTTTTCGTTATTATTATATTAGTATAAACGGTTCAATTACTCAAGTTTAAGATTTATGATGTGAAGACAACGATCACAAGACCCACGTAGCGAAGAACGGGCAGATACTGTTCGTCCAAGCTAACAGTTCAACACCGTGCGGCGCTGTATTCAAGGGAACAAGTCAGCATCCAAAACCCTCACGTAGAACCCAAGTCGTTGGTTCATCATAGCCTACAGATCACTTGTAGTGCCGTGCCACAGAACTGCCACATTTATTTCTTCACTCTTAATTCACAGCATTTCAAACGCCAAAGGATGAATACCTATGTTACAGAACTATCAAATAATAAGGGTCACGAAACGGATCCACTTTCGAGAGTCAAGCAGAGAAAACAGCTAGTCGACAGTCTCTACACTATCTAATATTCACTACAACCTAGTATTCTCGCCACTGAACTATGAAGTAATGAGCGCCACAACGGTCACCACCACACAGGTGCATCCATAGCAGCCACCACTACAGACGATTTAATTACCAAGTTTATAACCTGCTCTATCGTAGCATCACAAATTCCCGCTTGGCATATTCGTACCAAGTCAAGTATTATATCTCGAATTGATGATCCGCAATTGGCAGATAACTCGAACTACTGCATTCTTTAAACCTATTCGCTAATATTTTCCAGGGTAGACTTTTATAGAAAAACAAAATACAATTGAACAGTGGCCGATGTTTCGGCAGTATCACCTTCTTCAGAGCTTGGAAAGGTATGCTGATACATAATTTACTAAGCCAAACGCTTCAATAACACTTACAAAAAGACGAAAAACCATGATAATTACATGATCAACAGCTTCTCGAAAAACTCACCGCTTTTCTACGTGATTCCCAATGGGAAAGTTTAGAACAGCTGATTTTAGTCGCATATGATTGATGACTGCACCATCCCACACCAGAAATTGATGCGAACATGCAGGGCCAAGTCGCGTGTGAACTTTGGGCATTCCTACCTGCAATTCGTTGTAGGGTTTTTGGCTTTTATCCAAAATGCAATCACCGCCCCTGCATGAGTTCAGGTACGATATACCTGATCCCTTGTAATAATTGTAGAGATGAATATATTGGCGAAACGGGCAGACCTTTATGTAGCCGTATAAAAAAACACCAAGATGGCAAACAAAAACTAAGACAAAGTACCCCGCTAGGCACGAATAGGATACAAAAGCATAGCTGAGACGATTTTGAAGTAAAAGTCAATATACTGGCACAGGAGACTAAAACACCAGCGTGAAAACTTTTTGAGGCTATTAGGATAAGTGCCAAAGCCCTACAATGAATGGCAGGGATGAATGCCCGGAGGTCATACGCGACCTGAACTCGTATGTTCGCATCGATTTCTGTTGTGGCATGGTGCAGTCATCAACCATGTGCGACTATAAGCAGCTGTTCTAATCTTCCCCAGTGGAAGGCATGTAAAAGAAAGCAACGAGTTTTTAGAGAAGCTGTTGATCATGTAATTACGAAAGAGCTTTTCGTCTTTTTGTAAGTGCTATTGAAGCGTTTGGCCTAGTAGATTGCACATCAGTAAACTCTTCCAGGCTCTGAAGAAGGCGATACTGGCGAAACGTCAGCTACTGCTGTATTGTATTGCGATTCCTCTCTATGAAAACAAATGCATGCTGTTTAACAACCTTGCGATTGCTAAAAGAGAAGACGACGCATTCATATTCCAATGCCGAGGTTAATAGAAAGTCGACCCTGGGAAATGGCATAAACAATATTGTGCTGC